TGTATGAGAGAGAATTGAGGCATATAAAAATATGGAGATGTTGTATAATTGTCAATGAGACAACTATCCACCAGAGTTGAAATGGTGCTCTACTTGAATGGTTTTGTATTTCATGTATTTTAAAGCTTTTAATTTTCATACATGACTTTCAAATTGTACATGCAGATCTTGTGCTCGAGCATAATGATAATTGATTTTGTGTTTTTAATGCACATTTCCTGATTTTGTATTGCTAGGCCCTCTTATTTTTCAGTGCCCCCTTTTGAAAGTCCTAGATTTGCCACTAGAAATATTCATTCAACTTCCCCCTCTCTACAGAAAGTCAGATATAATACATAATATTAGAGATTGCATAATATTGAGTATCATTTAACGCTCTAATGCATTTTTTAACAAAGAAAAGTAACCATAAGGTGAAATTTTTACTTGACAATAATGCCATTATATAATTTCCTTCTTGATTACAGATATGCAGTTGCTGTTGATAAAATGGATACTCCAGTGGTGGCCAGATATGTTTCAATTTTAAAAAATCCAAAGAAAAGCTTATTTCAGAGTCCTGTGGACACTGGCAAGGAGAATGATTTGCCAGGATTTTCAACATCTTTGGCATGTATAAATACAAAATGTAATGCTCATTTACATAGGGTTCTCCCTAAGGATTTTTGAAGGCGATCAAGTCCAAAAGTGAGAAGATAACATTTTGTTGCTATATAATTATTATTTTAGTCTCCATGGCAGACTAGAGCAAGAGAATTACATTAAATTAAAATTATTTTTAAACTTTTGTTATAAAATGATGATACATGTATATGTGCTCAGTTGATACTACATTTTACAAACTTGATGCATCTTTTGACTCACCAATTTTAAAAATGATGAGTCCAGACAGATTTTCATGAGTCCAGGACTCATGGACTCGCCTTAGTGAGAGCCCTGAAATTAACACTGTATGTATTCCATGGATAATTTTTCCAATTTCATTTGACGATGTAGTTGCATATTTATTCAATTAAACATTTTGTATCCAATTAATTGTTTATAGAGAAACCATTAAGATGTAACAAAAGTGTATATTTTTTCCTTTTTTAATGTGTATGCATGTACATGATAAACTTTTGTAAACTTTTAAATCCACAACATCAAAGCTCAATTTTACAGAAATTTTAATTAAATTCTTTTGGTCTGTAGAAATTATTTTTACAGGCCCAAATAAGTTGACAAGCCTGGGAAGGTGGGTCTGTGGTGAAGCGTGAAGACTGTATGTGTCATGAATGTTCATTTTTTCTGAGAATCTGTACACAATAAATATAAATACAGTATTTGTTCTGAACAAAATGTGCAGTTAAAGTCTGAATGAGCTCCCGTTTAAATACTCAGAAAAGGAATAGGAAAGTTGGCTGGTCAACTGTAAAACGAACTCCTGTTAGGAGTCCCCCAAAGAAGAAAAGCAGAGAAGGAGCATGGACTGATGATCGTATGACCATGTTTAAGCATGTCAAATATTTATTTATTTGTTGCATGCGGAGGCTTTCAAAAAGTTAAGAGTGTTTAGTTAATTTCGTTCAAAATGGCCAATTTTCAACCAAATAGCACAAAACAGACGACACTCGCGCATTCTAAAATGAAAAAGCAGGTTTATGTCTCTCTTTGTTATTATGCCATATCTCTTTAAGCAGTTGTCGAATAGATTTGAAATTTCATATTTGTATACTTTATTTATTCCAGATTACGAATATAACAACTAATTCAAAATCCCAATATTACAGTTTATTACAGTTTATTACAGTTTATTTCCGGAAACTGGAAGTGTTTAGAAAACGTATAAACAACAAAACGTACACGGAAAACCAAACTGTTAATAAACAAAACAGTAGATGCCGTATAATAAATAAATACTCTGTATATAACACTAGACATAATGGAAACACCGTATGAGACAATATATGGAGCGTAAGCCTGCTCTCCAGGTCGATACAGATCCTTTCCGGATTTGATAGTCCGTGTGTTTGTATCAAATTATGCTTTGCTACCTTTCGGAAATCATCACCTTTCGGATATTATTGATGCTTTTCGGAGAAATGTATAAGTTAAAATCATTCGGAACACCTCGCCCCGATTGGGCCGAGGTGATCTGAGTGAGTACACCGAGCATGCACCAGAGATACATGTAATTTGGAGCCATGCACGAGTATTAATATATATCAAACGGCCGTATTTCTACTTCATATAAACACATGATGTAAACATAAAAGTAATGTTCGAGGATAATATTTGATAAACTCCCTTTCAAAGATTTACTTATATTGGGGTAATAAATGATAATGTGCAGTCCTGTGAACTTTACACACAAGAAGAGCGTACGATCGGCTAGAGCTCCCGCAAATCATGAGCTGAAGACGTTAATGTCGAAATTGAAATCCGGGTCATCATGCGGTTATCACATCTGCCTCGCTAGAAATGATATAAACAAGCACGTGCTGGCAGCCATATACTGTCTGAGTAACAAAGTATGGAGTAGCTACGGGATCATCATACAAGTGGGAAAGGTTTTAGCCAGAAGTAGCTACATGTATAACACCAGGCTGCTAAATTGAAAGGGAACAGGTTTTCTTGCATGATTTTGGAGAAAAAACCCTGGTTACAATTAGTTACTGTGAATCATTAATTTTCGTTGGTTTTTAATTTGCTTTCGTGGGTACTCTTCATCCACGTATTCATAGGTCAACGAAGTAATTACAGGTTTAACATAAAGCTTTTCTCCTTATCAGTAGGTACTCGTAATCTACGAATTAATGTACCAACAAAATGGTGTTTTGGGGGGAAAACGAAATTTTGGCCCCACGAAAATATCTGATTCCACAGTAACATGGATCGTTTGGCCAACTTAATATCTATTTTTCTGCTAAGTTTGACATTTTAAAATAAGTTCTCTAGTCACGTTAAAGAACATTTACGAAGTCGTGTTTTTTTTCATATGTGTTTACGTTATGTTATTATCATGATTGCTATTGTCTGTAACAGGAAGTATTTGTCTGATCTTGTAAACGGAGGAGGTCGCTCCCCAATATGAACCATTATTGTCTAAGAATGCTGAAGTGAAAAATACTATGATAAAAATTACAAAACACACAGCTATCTAAGCTTGACGTGTAACGATGTATACGCTTGATAAAAAACAACACCGAACACCGAATTATATACGCTTTATATATATTTCCAAAGTAGTTTCTGTTTCTGAGTACTGTCTATGAAAATCCGTTTCCTGAAATGATTCCTTTGCAATCATTGCTGCCAAACTTATTCAAAGCGTTGTTCCTACAATAAATGTACAGTGTACACTGGTTTGTGGAAGTTACATATTATCAAATTTATATCTCTTGTACTCTCATTTTTGAGGAATAAATATTGATGATAATGATGGGAAAAAATCCTTATGTTAAGATTCGTTGATTGGTTGAGTATTGATCAACGTATTCATATATTATAATTTGAAGCTGTTAACATTCTAAATTCGTGTGCTCCACCTGCATATGATTGTAGTTCAAGGAGCAACATACAAAGGTTTCACCTGTGACACCCTTTATATAACGGAAATCTTGCCTTTTTTGTTCAAATATATATATTACACGAGTGATGTCCCTTTGACCAGCATGTGTAGGGAAAAAAACCTGTTTTCGCCTTGTCAAAGGGGAGTAACTTCAATTTTTTTGCGGCGATCGTTCGAGTAATATTCTGGAGTAGTCATAATTAAAATGAATAGTTATGTCACTCATCGCAAACTTTAACGACATACACCAATCAGTGACTTTTTTCTAGCCCAAAATAAAAACAATTAATACACTATTCACTTTGCCACAGTTATATAACAGGAGACCCGTTTTTATCTTGGCTATTATATGAAGTGTGAATTGGAACCGGTTTTAAGTGAATTGTACATCTTCATAATTCAAAGCTTGTAAGCTTCTCTCGTACGCAAGGACGTGTTCGTCGAAGTGTGAGGAGATAGATTATGCAATACGTCTATAAACAAAATACTTTTGAAAATATATCCTATCCTCCGTTTCCCCGACATTTATTTATATACGCAGGAAGCCACTGGAACTACGTGTAACTATTAAACACAAACTTATTTATTGCACGCGCGTGAATAGAAAATAAGGCACTCGGTGTAGCACATCGATTACATTTTTTATTCTGCATTGAGTCTACACAAAGAGAACGTTTAAGGATATAGTGGACGCAGTCTATTCTGCACTCCAACGCCCCCTATGACTTAAGGGATACTTAAGATACCATTTAAAAAGCAAAAGGAGAATAAGACAACCTGTTCCGGAAGGGTAAGCGTCGTCTGCTTCATCGATTACACCAGCAATGTTAATCTAAGTGAAATCCAAGTAATGTCACGTCTTAAAAGCAAGAGCCGGGGAAATGAAAAACAACGGAACAAACAGGCACACTAATGAGCAAAATACAAAAGATTGACCTTCATACACGCTATGGAATACCATTTTTCTTAATGACACCATGATGGGTGTCGACGATACACTTTGTCCATAGCTTTCACGTAGATGTACATGGACACTTTGTATATGTTGTGTGATAATAAGTTACAGAGGTTAACCAATGAAAAGTTTTGTTTTTCAGATTTCAGGTTTTATTTCCAACACTCAAGATACATGAAAACGTGCAACATAAGGTACATGTAGATGGATTTATATGTTAAATTATAACAGGATGGACAGATGCATACATGTTTATGGATATACCGATATATACATATATATTTATGCATGATAACCTGTTGTACAAATGAACTATTTCGCAATTAGACACAGCAATGCATACATATATACAACGCAGTTGAGATAGACTGAGATCTCGAAAGCACATAGTACGCACGTTTAGCTGGCGTATGTATTGCCGATACAGAGCACCATAGAAACGTCTAGAATTAAGTTCAACAAACGCTGTAGCCGTAAAGTAGCGACGGGGATGTTTGTTTTACCTGACAGATAAATGAGGAAATTGATATGTTATATACACAGTAAATTGTTGAAATTGGAACATGTAGTCTGAAAACCCCCCAAACCTGCTAGGTACCGTAGATATTGTACACACAACCTGTGTGTACCACGCTTGGCACTACACGAAAAAAAAAGTAATTTTAATTTATTATTCTGACGTGGAAAAATAGAAATGTGAAACGCTATGAATATTATGCATAGTACTGAAGGTCTGAGAGAGTTAACCGCGTTAGTTACACTTAAGGATGGTCTTAGGATAGACCTGTAAAGAAGACAGATACGAGTCGTGATAGGAGAGTTCTTCTACCATTATTTGTAATTAAGCTTGTGGTTACATTAAGTGCAATCAGCAGTAACAGCTGCTATTAAGGAGAAATACCGGAAGTGCAGTTCGTGAGCTTCCATTTATTTACGCAGATTAATACTCAGTGTTTGGATGTACCTACGACGATTATCTTCACCAGAAGTCTACTGTAACATTGCACATAGCAAGTCATCGGTGTTTGTATTTATTTCAGCGGCGCGTTGGAACATTCCGTCATACTGACAACTTTAAAAAACATGTTGTGCATGACATTTTAAGAGAGTGTTAAAATCAGAAGGTGGTATAGCTTGATTTCTCTATATCTCGGATTTTTGATTATGTGACATCAACGGAAAGTGTTTGATTTCATGATATAAATCAAGATAGATGATTATATGACTATTTTATTTAAGTCTACAGATTTGTGATGACGTGATAGCAGCGAAATTCGTTTATTTTTTTCCCCGCCGGCGAGTTCTACGCAGCAGCGGTCGGTGGTTATTGCGATGAATAGTGGTTTATTTTACATGTGTAAACAGACCGGGAACACTACAATGGAGTTATTACTAGTGTATTTAAGCCTTGTTTTAACCCTTTTCGGGATAGGAACGGCAGGGTAAGTAAACCAAATATATATATTAATATATTCTATACGCTCGAACATCTTTCCATGTAGACAGGGCAATTTTGAAACTAAAACAGTATTTCATATAACATTCTCATGTTTAAATGTACTGTGAAATCACAAAATTTACGTTGGTTGTAATCTCATTGATTTCGTTGGAAATCTTCATTCACGAATTTATAGGTCCACGAAGTAATTACAAAGACATACAGTAATTCTCCGTTTAAGTGGGTACTCGTAATCCACGAATTCATGTACCCACGCAAGAACATTCTTTTGTCGGAAATCCACGAATAATGGGCCCCACGAAACTATCTGTAATAAGCTGACAAGAAAACAATTTTAATACGACAAAAATGTTAAAAATATACAATAACAAACATTGAAAATATACAATGCCACGGCAGTTTAATAAACATACAATGTAAATATTTCAACATAAACAAGTGATTTAGTAGACTGAGGGGCCCGCGGTGGCAAAGTGGTTAAGGCGTCTGACATTCTGCTACCACTAGCCCTCTATGACGTGGGGCAGTCGCCAGGTACTGGCGTAGGTCGGTGGTTTTTCTCCGGGAACTCCGGCTTTCCTCCACCACCAAAACCTGACACGTCCTTAAATGACTATAGCTGTTAATAGGACGTAAATGACTGACATTGGGTATAGAGAGGGGATACGATTATACATCAAGTAAACATTGATGTACATGGTTTTGAAAGACTTCTGTATACATATGCTGTATAAAAACGTTTAAATGATGTGTTGTACGATGCATATTTAAGCAGCTTCTATGAATTGTTTCTTAGTTTGAAGGCAGATTAAATATATATAGCAGTCCTTAATGTATTTTACTAGCCACGCCGTGGAAGATGACTTTAAATGTATTGACCTATCTTCATCTTCGATACTTCAGGGGTTACGCGCGCTTTCGCTCTCTACACCCCTGGAATATGTCATAGCAAAATCGAAGGCTCTTTGCGCGCCACATTACGGTAAAATTGACTGGCTTTGAAGTCGTGTGTCGTTCCTCTGTAACATTCAAAGGACAGGTAAATGTATCTGCCTATCGATTGGTCAGGTTTTCACCGCAGATCAATCAAACAGATTGCTGCGCGTCTTCAATTTTGCTTTGAAATATTCCAGCGGTGCAGAGAGCGAAAGTGAGCGTGACCCCTCTTCAGATGCGAGGGCACTGGTAAATAACTGAACGGAGGCGACTAATGTGAGGACCAACGTAGCACATGTTCGTCTAAAACATGCTAATCCATTCATTAAAAAGTGATATCTTAACTTGTTAAGAGTAGACATGCATTTCTTAGACTTAGTTCAGAACTTGTCTTGACATAACATATACCAACTGTAGGAGGTGTATTTGGTGTGAGGAGAGTAATATAAACTCAATGCCCAAACCTTGACAAAGTCACACTCCTCTATATTGTCTACGATCAGTCCCTACGTAGTCGTTATCTTTGTTTGGCCGCCATTTTGTAAGGAGAAGCAAAAACGGAGGTGGAACGTGTACGTCTGCTACAATAGTATAGGTCAATTACACTGCTAGGTATTGTGTGTAGTTTAAATGGTTGTAGACCCTTTATAATAAAGCACACCTGTTCCAGGTGAGTGATAACATCTCTATTGAAAAGAAGTAATTGATGGTCATTTTGTGACAATAACGTCTTAAAGGATCTGTGGTCAATTAATGGGGCAATATCATCGTGTAGACTAACATCCAATAGAAATGATCTTGTCTAAATGTCAGAGCAACATAACATTACACATGTTATTTTTCCAAATATATTTGACAAGTAAGACAAAATATATGTAAGCTAACTTGACGATTTCCACTATCCATATCGTTTTGAAGACATAGCGAGTCCGCATGTTAATTATATAAAAATCGTAATGTCCTGCTGTCTCTCCCGACATCAATCCGTTATTTTCATAAGTGTTAGTGTCTATAAGTGTTGATACGCCGATAGTGGATGTTTAAAGTCGCTCATGTTTTATCGGGCTGATAAGACAGTATGCACATTTTGAATTGATTGGACAAAACCCCCCAGAAAATGACCATGTCCTGTTTTTCAAAATCATCACCTACGGATGATAATTTAATCACGTGTATGTTTAAAAAATGAAAATGTTACTTCATCTAGCATTTAACTAATGATGATGGATATACTCTGGTCATATTATTCGATTTTTATAATTCATGTGTGATCTTCTAATTGATAATGTTTATATTTTATTTGCTAAAAACAGGTACTGGGCAAGTATGTCTGACAAAAAGTGCTGTCATACAAATGGACACCATTAATATCTATGTTTTGTATTTGTTATCTTGATGTACGTTTTTATTACCTTACAGGCCTGTGTATTTCGTCAGCACTCCCAGTGTTCTACGTTTCAATTCCATAGAGACAGTGGCGATAAATATCTTTGGTATCAGTGACGTCACCGTTCAGATATACCTACACGACTACCCAAACAGAACGCGCACGTTCTCGCAAACGTCCGTTGTAACAACACAAGGTTCGATTGTCTTTTTACATTTACAGTCAATGGGAATGTTGTATTACCTTTCCATGTGATGGGTAATTTAGTCTTGATGTGAAAAATGTGACATTGGTTTTGAAATATTTGTAGGTAATTCAAAACGATTTGATCTTGCGTTTCCAACTAAATTATGTTTTTATTGGCGACATCTTTTCATTTGTATTGTTTTGATAAAGTGAACACAAAACAGATTTGATCTGAATGACTACCTGCATCCTCGATACTCCAGGGGTTATACTCACTTTCTTTCTCAGCACCCCTGGAATATGTCATAGCAAAATTGAAGGTACGCGGCAAACTGTCTAATTGGTCTCGGGTATAAAACGACCAATCCCTAGGCTGATACCTGTCCTTTGCAGATTACAGAGGTGCGACACACGATTTCGAAGCCAGTCAATCCTACCGTTACGTGGCCGAAATATTATTTTAATGTATATCAAAGGAACAAGGTGGTGCAAACTGCGCCTTCAATTTTGCGTTGACATATTCCGGGTGGAGAGATCGAAAGTGAGCGTAACCTCTGGAGTACGGATGATGCTGTAAGTCATTCAGAGTAAATCTGTTGAGTATCGAGGATGGATTTACTGATGATGTTTGAATGTTAGAATGACTTCAGTTAATTATCTGTTCGTGCTTTAGTCGGAACAGTTAGAATCAAGTTTACAATACACACCCTAGATAGTAATGACTTAATATACGATAAGTACTGGTGGTAAATCTAAGAGTTTTGACAATCACCAGCTTTTAACATTGCCAAAGCTCGTTTATGTTACATGTATGCTTGTATTAGTTAACACCATGCTTGATTTCCTTTTCAACACAGAACATATTACATTCCTAAAGTCATCCTCTAAATTCCAGGGGTAACGCTCGCTAACGTACATTAGTTTTCTGTTGTTTGTCGTATATTTATTTAAGTTTCCAATTTTTATTTCCTTTATCGATTTATTATTAAGATTTTACGATGGCCGACAAGAGCCTGGCAAAAAGATGTGAATTTTCATATCTTTTTGTACCATGGTACACTTTTATATGGTACACAAAGATATTAAAATTCAAATCTTTGTGTACCATGTACAAGTGTACCATGGTATACAAAGAAATGAAAGCAGAAATAAAATCAACCCGTTGCTTTTAGATCTTTCTGTACCAAAATAACGGCCGAAAACAGCCATGGTACAGAAACATGTGAAACCATCAGACGAAAAGGTTACCAAGTATGACATTTTACACCCTGATAAGGCTGTCATCACATACAATGAAATGTTATCGCACGGAATGTCTGTTATTTGTATTACACCAAATGAGCTACCAAACTATTACTTACTCATTTCAATTGAAATCAACTATTCAATATCCTTTACCGAATTTTATAAATGTTTTACGTTAAAAAGGAAGTCATTATGGATTAATATTATTCGTATACTTACATTTCTAATGTATTCTATCTGCTTCAACTTCTCAAATGAAAGTAACTCCAAATCAGTTGAAAAAGCCGACGGGGTCCGTAGGGGACAAGGGGACAATCAATTTAATTACTTCGAAGGATAGTCTACCTTATTATATTTTTTTGGGGGAAATATGATGAGCTAGTTGTACGATTCTTTTATAATCTGGACATCTATCAAAACAAGGGAAATGTCAAAAATATTCAGATGTCCTTTATCCCTTTTGGAGACCCTGTCAAGGCCTCTATACTTACACAATTGCAACTAACTCATCAGAAGTGATTAATGAACTTCACGACTTGTTTCGGCGTTGTAATTAGGGCTTCACTATTCGGGGTCAGTTCTGGTCATAGTGTCCGATAACAACATTCCGATGCTCTGGTGGTACACTTTTTCATATATATTTGTACCGTAGGAGGTAAAAAAAAGAAATGAAAAAAGTGTAACGCGGTACTAAAAGGAGAGAAGCTTTCATATCTTTTTGTACCGGGCAAAAGTGTACCACTGTACAGAAAGATATGAAAATTCAAATCATTTTGCAGACTGATATCGGCTGTTGGTACATATACATGTGAAAGTAAAGAGTTCTTTTGTAAAGTTGTTTATAATCTTTATGTACCATGGTACACTTTAACATGGTACACAATTATTTGAATTTTCATATATTTGTGTACCATTTAAAGTGTACCGTGGTACAAAAAGATATGAATTTTCATATCTTTGTGTCAGGCTCTCGTCGGCCATCGTAAGATTTAACTAATTATCTGAATGATAAATTGATTTAATTTAAAAAAAAAATACCTTTAAAAAACAACAAGAGTATCAAGTGTCAACAAAACCACATTTCGAACTCAAAATCGATAAAAGTAGGAAAAAGGACAAAGATAATTCTTATACGACCATGTATTCCGGAAGGGAAAGCGTCTTCTGCTTCATCGATGACACCCGCCATGTAGATCTATTTCGAAACCAAGTAATGTCACGTCCTCACATCGACAAAACCACAAGGCACTCTAATACTCTAATGTGCATAAACAAATTTATCTTCATATTAGAAATCTGTCCAACTCTGATTTCACTGAAAGAAAGCGATATGTCTATAAGGTACACGCAATGTGATTATATTCTCTTTATGTTTAGGTCAGACGGCGAAAGCACTGGTGCACGTGAGACCATCCGACCTGCCGGACGAGCCGGACAGCCAGGGCTATGTATATCTAGTAGCACGCTCGGATGATCCTCGCCTGATTTTTGAAAATGAGACTTTAATACTGATGGAGAGAAACACAGGATTTGTGTTTGTACAAACAGACAAGCCGGTCTACACACCGCACCAGGAAGGTAGGGCGGCTTTTGGGCAGACTTGAGATGTTAATCCTAATAGGTAATGGGCAATATGAGACGGATGCAAAGAATTATTGTGGAGGGTTAATAGTTTACAGACAAAATATCTATATGTAACGTGAACAATTTTCATCTGTAAAATATAGAAAAAAATTCTTTTAGAGATTATGTGAACAAAAATACTCTTGTAGTCAGCGGACAATCCAGGTCACAAGTGTATATACAAGGTGGGCAATAACTATTAATACAAAGTGGACATGCTATTGTTTACTATAATTGATAATATGAACGTTTATATATTATCATTAATGTTTTGGTAAACTATAAACATTCCCCTTTATACATAATGTAGACAAAATCCCATAGTAACATTGCTGGTTGTTCAAAACCATTTCAACATATATAGAACACTCCATCTTTACTTGATAAATGGTTGAACTTGGTGACGTTTCAAAGTCATGTCTTCTTTAGTTAGGTAGTGCGTCTTATGTCGGTGGGAATAAATCCAGACCAACCTTGTATGGTACCGTATGACCTTTATTTTTCCTGAAGGAAAAACCCGAAGAGAATACCGACCTGACAACAAAAATCTGGAGCCGGGGTAGTGACCACAACACAACACGACATACTAACGAGTTTTACCAAAATCATCGACTTACAATTTACACAAGAACATAGCATATTTGAGTCTCCCAAACGAAGTTTGATGATTTTTTTTAATCCGTTTCTTCTTCTTCTTCTTCTTTTCTATTTCTTCTTCTTCTTCTTCTTCTTCTTCTTCTTCTTCTTCTTCTTCTTCTTCTTCCCTTTCTTCTTTTTCTTCTTTCTCAAAAACTGCGTATTGGATTCCATTGAAACTACACATGAGTATTTGGGTGTGTGCCTAGATCTGCAAGACACCCTTTTCAACAGCTGCGCATCCACGATGGTCTCCGCGGCCCCTGATTTATTAAGACTTTTACAGATGCCATTGGTCCCATTGTCCAATATTACTTAAACTTAGTATGTAAGTATATTATGGCTATGTCAACTCAATCCTGCGCCTGTTTTGCATCTTTGCGGCTATGGCGGCAGTTTGTAGGACCATTGTAATGGTTCCCATTGCAATTTGTACTTGTTCCCTTTGAGATCATGATGCCGACCATTAAACTTGCCATTATATTTCATTTTCTCGAAACCCTATGGTGTACGTTTGACCGTCAGCAGTCGACATCTTTCTCGGAAACCATGACATTCGGAACAAGGTGTTGAGTACCAAACGAACTGCTTCATTTAAACACTATGGTTGATAAAGGCAAAGCTTGTTCGAATGGTCGCATACATTTCAATCACATTCTAAACTTTGAGTCTAAATTATTTTAACATTGTAGTAAAAATCCGGGTGATTACATTAGATGAAGAAAGAAAACCATCAGCTTCACCCGTTACCATTGACGTGAAGGTAGGGACTTATTTATTATATCTTAGATACGTTTATTTACATTTGTATGTGTTGAGTCAGCACTGCAGCATGGCCATATAAGGTCATACAGTAGAAATTTTAAAATCGAAAGCAAGAAAAGTGAAAAGGGTAGCATTTGTGTCATCTGATGTTAGGAGTGTTTCTCAAAAATATGTTAGCAGTACACATAGAACTGCATGGGTGTAGAAATAACAAATCGAATCTCATGACAGCCTCACAATATCATGTGACTTCGGGACTCAACATGTTTTTCTATACCGAATCTGCAAATATATGAAGACACTTTTGTAATTCAAATGTAATCTCTTGATATCTGAATTGATAATGATTTCAACTATAATAGAAATTTTGTCATCAGTTAGAAATGCTTTTGTTCCAATTTGGACCAGATAGCAAATCAAGAATAAAAATATTATATTTGAATTCTGTAGTGATTTTATCTTTCTTCAACGTTAATCGTTTCACATGCCATATCGAATTTATTAAACGAGTTCAATAATTTGACATGAAACGAGCCTTTTTTTATTTTATTTTAATTTTAAATAATGAACATATTTAATTGAAATGAAAATAATAATAACAAAATACACATTCAAAATTCGTTTAAAACAACAGTACTGTAAATGTATCATGTAGTATAGTGAATAAATGTAGTACTTTTAATGGCATAGGAACATGTTTTTACAGTTTTGACCAATCGTCGCACGTTTAGGTTTTATTATATATGTGTTATACCATATTTATGACATGGCCGTATGACATTGTAAACTAGGTCAGTTATGTGATATACACAAAGTATCATATTCGTTGTAGAAAGGCACTCAGAAAATGTGTTTTTCTCTTCCAGAATCCACAAGGTGTAGTCCTACAGCGATGGACTGATTCCTACCAAGGCCGGTTCATATTGAAAAAGTTCCAATTGTCATCCATTCCCTACTTTGGTAAAAACTGGACAGTTACGGCTAGGTACCAAGATGGGGTATATATCATTCTTAATATTTAAACATTTCCGTATACATTTAAATGACATGTTAACGTTATGCCATACTATTTATTCCTTTGTAATACTTTGATGTGAGGTTTGTCGTTTCTCGAGCTGCAATGTATTTGTTTTGATGTCATGTACACCATTAGAAATAATAATTTTGTTTACATATTATGATTTTTCCTCATTGTATTCAATACTCTGACTAACCAGTGTATTGGTAACATTTTGGTTAACTAGCAGTTAGACGACGAGACTTACTTTCGGTTGGCACGCTATTTTTGTTGTGTATGACTGTCGGTGATCTTCATCTAATTCAAGTACGGCCAAATACTTACGATTCCCCAATTTGACGGTATAGACAATACCGACCAAAGCATTTAACAGATGCCGATTTCTTTCTCTGACGTTAATTTCGATCCAATCGTACTACTGATTAATATTACGGTATTGTGTATTCCGTCTTTGCGTATTGCAGAGTTATCTTCTCTTGAGAACAGGTATTGATTGTTACGTCATTGGTTTGTGTGAGAAAATTACGTCATTTTCTCAAAAAATAATGACGTTACTCTCACAAACCAATGACGTAACAATCAATACCTGTTCTCAAGAGAAGATAACTCTGCAATATGCAAAGACGGAATACAAGCATCTTAAAACGGATTGTATATGTTCTTATTACAAGTCGACAAGTTGATGAGGATAAATGATGATCGATTGGATAAAACGTTTATACTTACATGGAAACCAAATGAATAGGGATAAAGGTTGTGTTTTTTTGGTTGTAGGTAGATACGAGTCACAGTGTCGATTTTGAGGTGAGGGAATACAGTAAGTACATACAGTTTTTACGTACAGCTATAAGTGTTATATACACACATGTGTAATTATATAGGTCAAGCAGGTGATGTACATTCTGTAAATATAAACGTTAAACAGGAAATGTATATAGACAAAAAAATGTAAAAATAATGCACATGAACATAGGTTTTATGAGGTCAATTTTCCGCAATTCCAATTGTTGATGTTTCACGTTTCGATTTTTCACGTGTTGATGTGTCACGTGTTGATGTTTCACGTGTTGATATTTCACTTGTCGATATACATGCAGTTCTATGTATTTTCCCCCCTTAAATTAATAACTGTATGTGCTCTTTTTGTTGTCAGTACTGCCTCGCTTTGATGTGGACATAGATGTACAAGACTTGGAGATAGTGCTGCCATCTACAGAATGGATCAACGTTACCGTATCCTCCAAGTAAGGACAAGCCCAGTCAGGGGTCGATAACGTTACCGTATCCTCAAAGTAAGTACAAACCCAGTCAGGGGTCGATAACGTTACCGTATCCTCCAAGTAAGTACAAGCCCAGTCAGGGGTCGATAACGTTACCGTATCCTCCTAGTAAGTACAAGCCCAGTCAGGGATCGATAACGTTACCGTATCCTCCAAGTAAGTACAAGCCCAGTCAGGGGTCGATAACGTTACCGTATCCTCCAAGTAAGTACATGCCCAGTCAGGGGTCGATAACCATGACATAAACTCATAAATAATCGATTCCACCTGATAGTGTAATGTTTCATGTAATTGTCACTAACTTGTATCCTTCAGTTTTACAATATTTTAAACAACGAACCTCTCGATACGATATGTAAGGATTTGTTTTTGGTAAAAGATGTTTAGGGTTACCTCTTAAAGAAAATCAAGAGGAGCAAGCCAGGGGTTTATATATGTTAATGACGTCATCACTTTTTAATTTGTGTCGTCATGTCAACATAAATAAACGTTTCCCCTGATGAATCTCTAAAGAGGTGAAAGAACTAGGGAGGTACCAAGAAACCCTTGTCATTTTTTATATCCAATGTATATAGATATATATTTTTAAATCATATTCTTGCACTTAATTAACTTTTTAAGAACAATGTTGCTTAAAACAAACTATGTATCTCTATGAAATGAAATATCATACTAGGTGCTTGCCGACAGAGTATCTCAATGTTGACCTTTTTTTTTTTTGATAATCCAAAAATTAAACATAAATCTGGGGAAATCATTTTAGGAAGAGTAGAATTGCAACATAGCAGAAATAGCAGAACGGTTAGGGCTCTAGAATGGCTATTATTACAATGTAAGATAGTGGATTTGTTTCGTTTCCCGATGATTAAACAAAAGCGTTCCAGTTAATAATGAAAATGTAATAACTGTTGTTAAAAGATAATTTCACAAATTGTTTAGTGTACAACTGCTTTGAAAATTACATACATGTCACGGATATATTTAGTATGCAACTTTAAAAGAAAACTAAGATATACTATAAAAACCAACAGCCACTTAGGACCAAGCTTTCGAGTTGATACCTTCATCAGGGACTGCAAGGAAATCATCCTTATGTCACATCCCTATTGGAAAACAGGAAGTTCCTAAATAAAGGTCGAGGATGATTCAACTTCAGATGAAGGGCGAAATCGAAAGCTTGGATCGAAATGTTTATATATTACCCTAAAACACATTGTTTTATTAATTTCAGGTACGTATATGGAAAGCCAGTGATAGGGGGCGTGACTTTGACATTCGGAATCTTGGCATCAGGACAACACGAAACCTGTTCAAAGACCTTCAACAAGCTTGTCAGTATTTGTCGTTATCAAATATGATAAAAATCAAATCAGTCACTACGTTCCGCATGATAGGTCTTATATTCTGATAATATTCTGATAATACATTCTTGTAATATTCCGAATCGGAATTCCGAATCGGAAAACGTATGTACAAACATCCGGGTACTGAATTAAAGGTCAGCAAAACATGACTCCTGATGCAATGTTGTAACATCTTACGAAATAGTATATCATAACGGAACGAAATCAATGATTTGAGTCAGGCTCTAAACACGAACATAAATGTCAGCTGTATTAGCACATTTGGTTGATTCAGACTTATTTTCATTGTTGGTCAACAACAGTTATACATATTAACAATATAAACAGCCGAACTTCATTGTTTCAAGCCTATGTGCCCCGATATCTCGATAACTTATTTTGTCTTAGTCCAAATAACTGTGTAAATTGAAGCTATTTTCAGTTTATGTACTGACTATCCTGCCTATAAAACCCTATAAAATTTTCCTTTTGCAATCTATGTACTGAATTATTGAAATACTAGTGCATGTATGATAAACAATGTTGGATTAACACATTTTCAAAAAATAATTCCTTAAGAATAATTACTTATTAATGAAAATACTAATATAACTAAGAAAAACAGCAATAAAAGTATTATTCATCCAAATGATGTTTTATTCAAATCTTGGTACCCCATGCTTTGTAATATAGTTGGAACTGCATGATGATGCTTAAGAACTAAGCAACAACCCTGCCAAAAGACTTCACCAAATAAATAAATACATTTAAAATTGCATAACATACCAGGCAAGTATATTAGCAATGTACAAACATGTATGCTCTGCTTTTGACTCATGTCTAGCTTGTGGACGGAAGGACCGACTTCGCTGTGAGTGTGGATGAACTCAGAGATAGTCTTGAAAGTTACTGGTTCCCAGACGGTGCCCGTTTGTTAATAGAAGCCGGGGTAACTGACCTATCCTCGGGCCGGAAGGAAACTGCCTACCACAGGAGCACAGCTTTCTCCTACTTCCGGTATATCATCTCCGTAGAGAAATCCCAGAAGTATTTTAAACCTGGTCTACTGTACAGATTACACGTGCGTATATATTTTGTTCATATGATCTCTGCATATATTAAAAAAATATATCTGCGTTGATATTCTTTGACATGCCTTTATTTTAAACATGCAATACCTAAATGTTTCTCTTTTTCGTTTCCTATCTTTCCTGTCTTCATTCTTTTTCTATCTACTGTCTGTTTCAGTCAGTGTCTCCCACGTCCTCATGCCTATTATTTTTTGGCGAATTTTAGATATAATTGTTTTCTAGTGTATTGGCAGTGTGCTATTTTTTATTTCTATTTTGTATAACAATAGACATGAAAAACAAATCATACCTAGCCCACGCAATAATGTCACACTGGAGATGAGTTTTTAAAAGTGCAGTTTGAAATCGGTCGCAAAGCATCCCTTCTCCATTTACAATATTTGTTTAACCCTATTCAATAATTAAACTATTTTATGTGATTTTTATAGGTGGAGACCTACTGGGTGAATGGAAAGCGGAATAATGCCCCGAACGTGGACATAGCTGTACAGATAACTCGTTATAATGACGCTGGTGTCCTTCATTCACTTAACCGGACAGAACAGACAGACGAGGACGGTACCTTTCAGTACCTCGTCATCATGGGCCACACTGAGACTCGGATGGTTATCAAGGTACATAAAACCATGTTTTAAACTACCACTTCCGCCGGAAGTTATTTATCGGAAATTTGATTGTGAGACATTAAGGTATATGATAATTTAATTTATAAACGTCCAAAAATATTCTAAGGGTATAACGCATCTTTTGTCTGTATATTTTGTTAGACAAATAATGACGTATTCTTACAAAAACTGTGTTCGTTTCCAGGTGACAGCATATATTGGACCATGTTTATTGCTGGACAAATAATGACGTTTACATACCAAACTGTGTTCGTTGCTAGTTGACGTCGCTGGATCCTGTATCCATTGTACGACTAAAAATGACGTATTCATACAAATTTTGTTCGTTTTCAGGTGACTGCACTGGACCATGTATCTATTAATAGACAAATAATGACGTATTCATACCAAACTTTGTTCATTGCCAGGTGACGGCGCTGGACACTGAGGTGGACGAGGACGAACAGGACGAGTCAGTGTTGGAAGTCTCACCACTGTACTCACCATCCGATAGCTATCTGTCCATTTGGACTAACTTGGTATGTTGCTTTTTTGACATGCTGTATCGATTACTAAATTTTAAATGTGCAATCACCTATGCATGTGTTAAGTTCTCCCATATGGTGATATCAATCATTATATCTAATTGGGTGTGATACCTAAACCGGGTCACCCACATTCATAAACATCTAATAATAATCTCTCGTTGATTTTGTTTATTATAGTCCAACGAGCTGTTCTATAAAGTGTGAACACGTCTTAACTGGAGTGCTTGATATCGAACCGTTTATTCAGAAAGCTTTATTTATATGTCTTGTGACAAAATGATATTTCAAGATGCATAATCTTGTCTTTTCATCTGTTTAGTTTTGGTTGTCATTAATGCAAGGCAACTATCATGTAAAGCCTGAATTTATTGGAAAAAAATCAACAAACGTCTTATCAAATTAATTCAAACTGCTTTTTTTTCTGTATAACAACCTCCATATGAATACCTATTCTCAAAACTTTATGTCTTCCAAAAAGAATTAGCTTATACTGTGTTAATAAGAATATATGTACGTAACTAGAAGTAAACATTCGGAAGGTTTTGTCTATATCGTAGCAATTGTATACATGTATCAATCAAAATGACCTCGTTCCGATTTTCGTGTTTATATTTCAAACAATGTAGTACTATTCCGAATAAGATTGGTCAGTGTGGTATGAATAATAAAGGCTAAGTTTGTTTTAAACACAAACAGGAATTGAAAATTAATTTTGCGAGCCTCCGAATACGTCTTATTCCTTTGTCAAGCAAAGAGGGTAAAACACCCTTGTCTTAACTCTAAACCGCTGAAAACAACGACTGAACTGGTAGACGGCTGCATGCATCATTAGGGCGCAATATGGCGATTCGGCACACTGTGGCAAAATGAGTTGTTTTGAGCGGTTTAGAGTCGAGACACCGGCCATTCGCATTCCTTGCTTTACGAAGGAAACAGACGTTTTTCAAAGCTCGCAAAATAAGTTTTCAATTCCTTTTCGTATTCAAAACATATTCACCCTTTATTCTAGCACTAACATGTTTCTCAGTGTTGTTTTATGTCACTGTATTCCGACAAAGCAAGTTCATTTTGTAAGGGTAAACAGTTCAGGGTGGCAAACTCTGTGATTCAACAAAAATGAGATATGTATATATATAAGGTACGGGTCAAAGAAGTAATATAGACGGTAAAATCCCACACTTTCCTTGTCCGCGATGCTCTCAGCTTAATTGCTGCCTTCGGCTGTCTTTAGCCGAGGGGAATGTTGGTTTTATATAATAGCTATATTTTCAATTAAAGTATATCAATTCTATCTTCTTGTAATATGATGTATGTGTACATGTAACTGTTCTGTTTCACTGTGTCTTGAAAAAGGAGCGGATCGCTCCGAAAATTTGACAACTTAAACTTGTCCACACTGCTGGAATTACTTCTTTGCCCCATATATATAAGGTACTGTATACCAGGAAACGTTCGCCTTGTGTAAATTTCGCCATTCACGTGTAATGGCAATAAGGTGTATGTTGTCTATATTCACTGTCAAGATTAGTTCGCCCTCATTGAGGAGGGCGAAAAAGATGAAAGTCAAACTGGGGCGAAAATCTTCCGGAATATAGTATTTCATGTAATTTCGATTTCTTGCATTCTTGCAGCATGAAACAGAACTTATGGTGGATACCATATCCAGTGGTGACAACAACAAATCTTTGTCGTATTTGGTAAGTGGCAGAACTCAATTAAATCGATAAATGTTTTTAAAAGGATGAAATCTAAAAAAATTGTTATGCATATGTATGAATTTGAAAATTTCCTTGATGTGTTTTGCTTTCGGTATATCGATTCACATATTAGTATAATCGATATCTTGACATGATATGCATTCTGCTGTATTTACTTGTAAAGTTAATGTGCTCTTAATTAATTATACAAAATAAACAATGATTGATGGTAAACCGATTATGATGGAACATGTGAACGTTGTTCTTGACACCATGATAACTATACAATCAACATTCTCCATGTATTTGAACGAATTCGTAACAGTGTTGTTAAAGTTGAAAAAAGAAAAATTAAAAAAAAGCAATTTTCCATAAAAAATCTGGCTGATAAAAATAGCTATATTGATTGACAATGTAATATATAATTTCAACGTGTATAATTTTGATTTAAACCATTTAGAAAGGACATGGTTTAACTGTGTTATTAGTTGATGTCTGGAGGACGGATTATAGATGCAGAGCAATCTCATGAAATCTTCCATCGCCCTGTCACTGGCAAGATGTCCCCTGGGATTCGCGTGCTGGTTTTCTATACCGTCAACCAAACCGAAGGCGCTGAGGTTGTGGCAGACTCCACATGGATAGACATCAAAGACATGTGTGAAAAGGAGGTACCTCTGCATGCTCCTGAGCTGCTCATTTTATCGAAAGCCTACGTTACTGTAACACATAAGAGGTCACATGACATCGAGAGCGAGAGGTCGTATACTTTTGTTTACGTCACAAAAACTTGTTATGTTGATGAATATTGAGTGGTCTGCTGAATAGGATTAAATGTTTTCTAGCATCTTTTTTTGATGATGAATTTTGATGACTGAAATATAAAATTAAGAAAACTGAAAATAATAACCGCACAGAAATATACAATTGGTGGCACGATAGTCTAGTGGTAGCACGCCGGGCTCGTAACCGAAGGGTCACCGGTTAGAATCTCGTCATGTCACTATTCTTGAACAAAGATACTTTACTCCACTTGTGTCAGTCTACTGTAACTGTGTACGTGGTTGTTCAGTGCTAGACTTGTTGAATGCTAGCTGTGAGTGCCGAAATGGCAGCACCGGCTGTATTCTCCCCGGGGAGTTGAGAAAGATATTAGCTGAATGCAAAGGCCCGATAACCAAGGATAAGAGTTTTTGAATCGCTTTGAAACAACCTAGGTTGTGATAAAGCGGTATATAAGAATCTCAAATAATTATAATCATAATTATAATTATATAACAACCTTTTCAATACACTTAGGTACTTTTTTCTACTCTAGTTAGGCGTGTCCAAAGAAAAGGGGAGGCTGGAGCCAGGTGATGGTGATGGCTTAACCCTGCAGGTCAGCGGCGCACCATCTAGTCTGATCGGCTTCCTGGCTGTGGATAGGGCAGTTTATCTCCTGAACAACAAGCACGTGCTCAGGAGACACACGGTCAGTTTTTGACTGATATCATTGACCAGAAATGTTTTCAATATTACCTTTTCATATGTTTCTGTGAATATGACATTGATGTTTCTCTACTAAATAGCCTGTTTTAGGATAGAACAGATTTTTTTGTTCTATTTTATACCGGCGTGAACATTGAAAAATGCCCTTTAAGCATTATATTTACTTTTTTTGTTATCATTGACCTAAGATATTCCCTTATATATTCGATATTGAAGTTTTCATGTCGTCAGAGCAAACGAGATTCCTGGAACAGCCAAACGTCATCAAAATGTTAAATATAATTCGAGGCGGAAGGAGAAGCTTCAAACTAACGCTGATCGGAATCCGTTCATATCCCTATGGACGCAATTTCTTTTGATAATGTTTATAGTGAAAATGTAAATATGATTGTATTAATAGATGCCGCCTAATGACCAATACGATACGTACACATGGCTTACGTTTGATAAAGGTGGGAACTCATTCAATCTATTTACAGGAAATGTTATGGTCGTCACCAGAATCAGAACTCCGGCTATGTATTTCAGCTTCTAGAATGTTATAGAGAATCATCGGCACTGTTGTAGATATTTTTCTTGTATTTTGTCAAGCAACAAGCAACACAGCAACCAGTGTCAAATGAGTTGTTCAGCGTTTCTTTAAATCGTTCGGTGTCTGTTATAATTTTACTGACTGTCAGCTCCGGTGATTTCACTTTGGTGTTGTCGCTTTGTGAAACTTTCAAAAACTATCAACGCTCTTTAGCTTTTCAAATATATTCATTTGAAACAGATGTTCAAGCGGTTTGCATCCCATGACATAGGATGTGGTTACGGGGGTGGCCTGACACCAGCCCAAGTGTTTGAGGTTTGTGTTACATAAGCTTATACTAAGGAACTTTCTATGTAAATATACCATCTTTATAGTACATGTATATCATAATTGCATTATTGACTCCGATATCTTGAATAACCTTGATTATCCCAGAGTGCATGTTTATGTCAAAGTCGCTTTATGGTTTCATTAGAGATATTTTTATGACGTAGCGCTGTTTGGCTATATGAAATTATGATGTTTTTATCATGATTTTTTTTATCACTTATAAAGATTTTTTTTGTTTTCCAAAACACTTTGATGTAACGATGTTTAACTGTAAAATGATTTTTTATCGTTATATTCATTTGTTTTATCACTTGATGTTAAGCTGTTTGGCTGTATAAAGTTATGAATATTTTTATCTTCTTACGTATAAATGTATATGTATTTTTTCGTTTCCCAACCCCTTTTGATATAAAGTTGTGTGGCTGTATACTTTCATGAATGATTTTATCTTCATTTCTTTCTTTCGTCTATATATCGTACTTGCCTTATGATAAAGATGGATCCTTTTGCAGGATTCTGGTCTGACTGTTATCACTAATGCCGACCTTGACACAACACCCAGGGAAAATACCGGATGTAACAGAAAAAGACGCGGGAAGCGTTCCATAGGTAAATACACAACATTTTAGTCTCGTCTGAATATTACCTTCAGGCTGAGTAGCATTATCTGTTTAAGATGACGAATATGACGTTCATATAAGCTACAGTGTATAAGGATTTATATACATGTAACTAAAGAAATACAAAGGTCTCAAATAACATACAGTCTCGTAAATGAGCTGTTTTCGAGCACAATAAATACAGAGGTTACACACTAGCATTTGTAGAGGCTTATAATGTTTTTCGTATACGCAGATCAGAAAAATGATTAATATTTCTACTTTTGTTGCGACAAAGATTTGACTGGAATATGTTTAAACTTTTTACAATATTGGTGACGAAGATGAAGTCAGTTAGAAGTTTTTTCTGCGGAAATAGTTGTCAATAACGTGGCGAATAATTACTTTAATCAATGCCTTCCTTGTAACGAAGATGATTACGAAACTCTTCACACTCATCCCTGCTGTGTGGCTGGCGACATGTATGGTAGGGAGGGGGTTGAGGAGTTAGACTGTTACACGGAGGGTAAGGTCGTGTACCACGCCACCAACAACACCAGCTGTGCAAAGATCTTCTTCAGGTGCTGCAACATCTACAGGCCGGCTGATATGACGGATATTTTCGATTATGGTAAGTGCTTGTTTATGCGGAATATTGCGATTGTGGTATGGTTAATAACAGTATAATTTAGAAATATCATGGATATCTATGATAATTGTTAAGTAAGCTATACTCTCAAGGAAATATCAGTCTATGGTAAGATTAATTACGTTGTGATTCATAGATTCCTACTTTGAACATTGAAAGGTTACTTACATGAGCGTATGTACATCATATGTTCGTTATTATATATTCGCCTTTCATGTTGAAAGATTATGTACGTGATAGATGTGTCATAACAGTTTCTTCAAAGCTATAAGCTGGTTAGTTTTGCAAATGAGAATTAAGTAGGATATATGAATATGATATGTTAAAATTAATCGGAATAAATTTCAATGAAATTTCCTGGAAATTATTTATTTCAAAATCAGTTGAACGAAAATGACTTCTTTTGTGTTATTTGATGATTTTGTTTTAATAATGACTAAACAATATATATAAGGTCCTGACTTTCAACAAATTGTATATATGTAAATCAGTTCCGTCGTCAGGGAGGTCATCTTTCCCCAGTTCTCTAAATGCTCATCTCACTCTTCGTAGGGTATTTGCTGGTCTGAACTGATTATTCCTCCACTCGCCTGAGCTATTGAATGATGCTATTTTCACGCCCTGCTGTCTTCCAAGTCCACTATTGTTAACTCTTAACGTTCCGATAGCATCGAACCCCTTCCATAATCTTTGCGATTCATAGATATCGATGACCTTTTATAGAGATTGTATGACATGGTAAGGTAGGGTCCATTCTAACAGAAAAAAATATTCATAGGTACCTAACCATAGTTTATGAAATAGCACAAAAACAAAATTGGCACAAAAGGTGTGGATTTATATGGCCATAAACAAGAATAAATCAGTGACAATAGAAAGGCAGCTGCTTATTTTTCTCTGCTAGGTCGTGTAATCCGCCGAGGGACTGTCAAGTACACATTTCGAGATGTAGTTGTTGACCTTGAAAATACACAAGTAAGGTCGTACTTCCCAGAGTCCTGGATGTTTGAGGAAGACGATTATCTAGAGTAAGTATCACTAGAAGTCATATAAGGTTAGTGTTGTGGAAGCTGGTGATTATATGTACCTGCCCATCTCTATTATAAATATTGAAACGACAATATAAAGTGTCATTTACTTTTTATCTGTCTGTTATACTTAGGCGTTATGTGACTGTTATACTACAGTTTGTATTAAAATCGTATACGTAATGGTAAGTCAAACCTACCATAACCCTTAGCAACTTGAACAACGAGGGATTACAAAACAAATCGATGATAATACAAGGTTATTTTGAGCAAACTTCTGTAAAAACGAAATATGGCGGCAAGCAGATCATTTAAACCTTGCGCCAAAGTTGACTTCACATCTGATCTACGCCATCAATAGCAATTACATGTTCTGTATTAATGTTAAAAAAATTAATATCCCATTTTTCAAAGTGTCAAAAAGTACAAAAGAAGTACTATCATCAAAGAAAGAGTACAATTTTATGTACACACGATACTGGATATAAGTGAAACAAAAGTATGACTACCCGTTCATTAAAGAAATATTAGCAATATCATGCTATAGCTATACGTTATATGCAGTCACTCAACTTCCGACACCCCAGCTCGACATGAATGATAAACAGATGACCGCTTTGCTACATTACAATACAATATGGTCATCGACAGAAACTCCCGAATCATAATTTTAGTTAATCGATAGAAAACAATTAGCACCTACCAATGGAGCAATATTTTAATCAAACATTTATCATCATTTCTAACTTCATAATTGCATTGCCAGTGAGAACGGACACCTGGAGAAGAACTTTGCAGTGCCGGATTCGATCACGACCCACATCATACAGGCCATTACATTGTCTGATGACTACGGTATGTGCATCTCCAAGCCAGAGCGCTTGCAGGTATTCCGCACGTTTTTTGTGGACCTTGAGTTTCCTTACAGTATCGTCCGTCTGGAGCAGGCCGAGGTCCGAGCAACAATTTACAACTACTCCCCTGATATGCTTCCTGTGAGTATTTCTAGCGTCCTCGTCCTTGTAATTTTGTAATGATATCTATTGTTCCTTTTAGTGGAATGCTTCCAGACACACTTGGTTAGAGCGATGTCAGAATGAGCGATGGGACTAGATCGGGTGTTATACCATCCTCTTTAGGCTCCCTTTACACAAGGCGACCTTTCTCCCACTTATGAGCTACCTAAAAATAACCAGCAAACCAAGATATTACTGTTTCTATGTAACTTCTCCAGCGATTCTTGTGCCTCTCTTGAACCACAAAAACTGCAATTGTTGGACATTTTTTTTGTCGTCCATGGCAATGTCTGAACATCCTTTGTACCACCTTTGAACGACCTAGCCATTCATGCGGCCTCCTTTTAGCCTGCAATGGTGATTTTGCCAGTTTTATAGTCACACAAGGTAGGCGTCAGATGTCATGTAACGGTACATTTAGTACTGTTAATATTATTACACACTTGTTTTTATTGAATCATAACAACCTTTAGAGTTGGTACTGTTATCTTGAGGCACTGCAACATAAATCTAAATAAAAAGACATAAAAATACAAACAGACAAGATTATTGTTGTCACAGCTAATATTTTATCTTGTTAGTCAGCAAAACGCTCCATGACGAATTGATGTTGCTCAAAGCAAGGTTAGTGGTAACACTTATCGCATTATTAGGCGTTGGCATTGCTTTTGAAAGTACATCTTTATAATTACAATCAAGTGTCTTGTGTTCATCTTTCATGGGAGTTGGGTAATCTGTGGTTTACCTTTGATTAGGCTGTCGTAGTGAACAGATCTCGTTATGACGTGACGTCAATGAAATGTGGAGCTTTTATCAGGTTACATTAACCGGATACGTAGTTAACCATGTCAATATTAGACCTGTGTTATGACAGAAATATCAAAAGTAGCAGCTTTACTAACATATCAAAATGCTCATTAGAATGTAGGCGTACTTAATTAGGAACGTGGTATGCATGTACCGTTAGCAAACGTCATTTAACTGTCATCGAATCCTCACAAAATGGACAGGATAATATTATAATGTTAATTTTTGGTGTTACAGTGTTTTGTGTACATCGTGACCCCCGAGGAGATATGTACTCCACGATCTAAAAGTAATTATATAAAGGTCGAAGTTCATCCCAACAGTCCTGAACCAATCAAATTTCCGATAGTGCCACTTAAGGCTGGAGAATTCGACTTTGAAGTCAGAGTGTATTCTATCAACGGAACGAATGATGTTGTACGGAAAACAGTCTATGTCATTGTAAGTAGCAATAGGTAAATGTTTGTTACATATGTTAAATTATATTGAATGAAAGTTACCATTTAAATGTGTGCATTTGTTGAGTCGAACTGTACTCAATCGAATGCAGCATCTCTTTCGAAGTCGATATCATATTGATTAAAAGCATTTTTATGAGGAATAATATATCGCGTAAGGGATTCGCATAGTCCCACTCGTAAGAGAATGTTCAAACACGGCGAAATTTAAATTTGAACTCTCCAAATAAAACAAAATGCGTTGGAAATCCAAGGAAACTGAGATACCCTGTAATAAGGAGAAACTTTCAGTGACACGCCAAAAATATCAGCGAGAACTACCAAAATGAGGAAACGGACACTGTCGGTGAAAAATAGCATAATCTTAATAGATACGGAACCATTCAGTGGAAAGTACCAAAATGGATAAAATATCAGTGTGAAATTCTCGAACAAGGAAATTGTCAGTGAGAAATTCAAGAATATTGTAACTGTCGATGGGGAATTCGAAAGATAAGAAAACCATCAAAGAGAAACACTAGAACAAAGGAAAAGAAAAGCAAGAATTACTAGAATAAGGAAGCTCTCAATAGATAATACAAGAATAACGTTACGCTCAGATGGAAATACGAGAATTAAAATACTGTCAGGGGGAAACGTCAAAATAAGGATTTGGGCGGGGAGGGGGAGATTTCTGATTAAGCAAACTTTCCTTGGACCATCCTATAGCTGCGAAAACTCTCAGATGGAAATCCCCAAATAAGGAAAGATTTAGCTGGAAATCCAAGAACAAGGAAAAGCTTTTGTTTCATACAGCAGTTAATTTAATTATTATAAACAGCAATGCTCTTTATTTGACCCGCATTACCGAGTTATACGAGGCGATTCGTTTACAAGTTAAAACCACTTAAGTGGACAGAAAGGACAGCAAATTACGTATAAAAAACTTGTATTGAGTAATCAGCCTTAAAAGTATCATAATCAACAATATGTACGTACTACTATGTAAAAAAGAAGTACCCAGTATTGGTTTCATACAGGATGTTATTACTAGAAGGATGTCTAAAAGGTATACATCGGCGTTAGTCACATGCTTATTTCTTTCAGGGCCGAATAAACAAATTTGAGTAAGTAATTCTAAAAAGTGTTATATAAGTTTCTAAGTCAGGAAATCTTTGTATACATGTTGGAGATATTTATCTTTGTACAGTAGTATTTTTCAATAGATATGATGAATATGACAAAAATGCACAGCATAGAAAAAGCAATGCAGAACATTGTACTTTGTTACACAGAATGAAGGAAGAGAGGAGAAGAAAACAGTGTCATTTTGGCTGGACCCTCAAGCTCACAGGGACAAGGTTGGAAGCACTGGAGATCTGACTGTCAATAGTACGTTTCATAAATGTCTTTTTTATTTTTTTGTCAATACATGTTGTCATTATCACAGTTGTAGTTCAATTATCGATGTTTTTTCCAGGAAGAAGAAACGCATACATACCGTGTAGCAGGATAATTCCGCCGAAACGGTATTTTCGCGATTTCGCGGGGCAACAACGTGATCGCGAAAATATAATCCGCAGAATGATATTACAAGCGTAAAATGAGCCGCAATAATAAACTTCATACCCTTAATGTCGTCATGAAAGAGTGCGCATGCTATAATGACGATTCATATACATAAATAGAAATAATTGTTTGAAAATAAGCTAAATCAAACATCTAATAGTTTTGGTTTTGTTGATGATTTGATTAATAAAATACACTTATTTTTTGTTGCGCAATATGCTGTCATAAACCCATTCATTAGAACATTTGACACTTGATATGCCGAAAATATTGTCCCTTCATATGACTAGATTGCGAAATTATAATCCGAGTCAATTTAATTTTCTAATTTTGGGTCAAAATCGCAAAAATCTAAGCCCGGATAAGTAACCCATTATACGGTATAAACAATTGCACACATATAATTGCATTTTTTTTTTTACACATTTGCGTGAAATTGATTTGCTTGAGTTTTATTGCGAAAACTCTAAGCATCGATTCATTTTATGTGAGTTTACTGTTGCAACTTTTTTTATAGTGTTTTTATCAAAATTAAGATTAACACTAGATATATTTTGTAATGTTTTGTACCCATCGACCAACGCTTTCACTCTGTTTTGATGTTCTCCATCTCTCTCCCACCCGAGAATTGTGATGTCATGCATTAATATTGTATTGCTTTAAAGTTTTGTAGTCATCATCTTACCTTGACATTGTGTGTGTTTTTCGTCGTATACTCCACCCTCTAAATCGTTACTCTTTAATTGTTTTTTGTAGTTATGTACCCGTCGCCATACCTTGAGATACAGGAGGCAACCGTTGATCTGACACTCCCGGAGAAGGCTATTCCGGGGACGGGAATGTGTAAAGTGTCTGCAATGGGTAAGTCATCACAGATTACGTTAATATCATTGGTGCTTAGTACCACTATATATATATTTGCCACACCCGTACAGGTCCGGGAAAAATAGCCCTGCTGTATACGACTGCATGATCGTACATGTAAGAGGTGACTAATGTTGGGTCGCCTCATATAATTGGGGCTTTTTTTCCGTGTTGTCTACGAAGGGGACATAAAAGAGACCAAAAAAGATCTACTTCCTTTTTCTCCCATTGCAACACTTTAAATCTTTTTCGTTTCCTTTACTCCTGCCTTCTTTCTTTTCTATCTACTTTCTATTTCAGGCGGTGTCTCCCTAGGCACCAGCCCATTTATGACCCTTGCTAGTGCGAGGACGTTACACACTTAACAAACAAACATACTGTATTCGCCAGGTTTGGACGTTTATTATCATAGCCACATTATGACAGGTTGGTGGCAAATGAAGGGCATCCTACGTGAGGGCAGTTCAGTGAGTTTAACGTTGGGCTTCTCAACCGTGACAGTTTCCTTAATTTTGCTGAGGAAATAAATTCATATAAATAATATAGGAAAAACTCTCTATATACATCTCTCCTTTTTTGCTTTTACTAACTGCCTGTTAAAGTCAATAGAATCAGGTAGAGCTAACGAGCAGAAAAATTATGCGACATTGTGTCAGATGTTGTGTATTTACATTGGTTTGCTGTCCTTACACCTACGGTAAAATGTATGACTATGATGTTAATCGAGTTTTATATTTCAATATTGATTGGTATGAAAACATCATAACCTCATTTGAAAGTTAAAACAAAAAAGTAATCAAATTTTAATGATAACTAAAATTTAAAATAGAATATGAAAATGCTTGAATTCTAATTCGCCACTGTCAAACAATAGCAACAGAAAACTATGACAAATTCTCAAAAAATATTAATTTTAAAAACTTGTGAATCGTACAGGTAACATCATGGATGCTACAGTACCTGTGGTACTAGAAGGCGCGAACGCCCTCCTCGATAACGTCCCTCACGGTTGCGGCGAACAGACGATGATTCTCCTCGCTCCTGTTGTCTATACGATGAGGTACCTACAGAGAACAGGGCAGCTGAGAACAGGACTGGAGGACAGGGGAAAGAGCAGGCTCAGACTAGGTATATCGATTTATAAATCACTAGGGGATACTAGAAGGAGCACGCTCAGACTAGGTATATCGTTATGTAAATTACTAGGAGATAGTAGAAGGAGCAGGCTCGGACTAGGTATAAAGTTATGTAAATCACTAGGGGATACTAGAAGGAACAGGCTCAGACTAGGTATATCGTTATGTAAATTATTAGGCGGTGGTAGAAGGAACAGGCTCAGACTAGGTATATCGTTATGTAAATCACTGGGAGATAGTAAAAGGAGCAGGCTCAGACAAGGTATGTCGTTATGTAAATTACTAGGGGATACTAGAAGGAGTAGGATCAGACTATGTATATCGGTATGTAAATTACTAGGCGGTAGTAGAAGGAGCTGGCTCAGACTAGGCATATCGATATATAAATCACAGGGGGATACTAGAAGGAGCAGGCTCCGACTAGGCATATCGAGATGTAAATCACAAGGGGATACTAGAAGGAGCTGGCTCAGACTAGGGATATCGGTATGTAAATCACTAGGGGGTACTAGAAGGAGCCGGATCAGACTATGTATATCGGTATAGAAGGAGCAGGCTGAGACTATGTATATCGTTATGTAAATAACTAGGGGATACACTAGGCATATCGTTATGTAAATGACTATGGGATACTAGAAGGAGCAGGCTCCGACTAGGCATATCGAGATGTAAATCACAAGGGGATACTAGAAGGAGAAGGCTCAGACTAGGCATATTGTTATGTAACTCACTAGGGGATACTAGAAGGAGTAGGATCAGACTATGTATATCGGTATAGAAGGAGCAGGCTGAGACTATGTATATCGTTATGTAAATAACTAGGGGATACACTAGGCATATCGTTATGTAAATCACTAGGGCATACTAGAAGGAGCAGGCTCAGAAGCAGGCTCAGACTAGGTATATCGTTATGTAAATTACTAGGGGATACTAGAAGGAGTAGGATCAGACTATGTATATCGGGATGTAAATTACTAGGCGGTAGTAGAAGGAGCTGGCTCAGACTAGGTATATCGATATATAAATCACAAGGTGATACTAGAAGGAGCAGGCTCAGCATTGGCATATCGTTATGTAAATGACTATGGGATACTAGAAGGAGCAGGCTCCGACTAGGCATATCGAGATGTAAATCACAAGGGGATACTAGAAGGTGCAGGCTCATACTAGGCATATCGATATATAAATCACAATGGGATACTAGAAGTAGCAGGCTCAGACTATGTATATCGTTATGGAAATCACTACGGAATACTAGAAGGAGCAGGCTCAGAGTAGGCATATTGTTATGTAAATCACTCGGGGATACTAGAAGGAGCAGGCTCCGACTAGGCATATCGAGATGTAAATCACAAGGGGATACTAGAAGGAGCTGGCACAGACTAGGCATATCGATATATAACTACCCACGGCATACTAGAAGGAGCAGGCTCAGAAGCAGGCTCAGACTAGGTATATCGTTATGTAAATTACTAGGGGATACTAGAAGGAGCAGACTCAGACTAGGCATATCGTTATGTAAATCACTAGGGAATACTCGAAGGAGCAGGCTCAGACTATGAATATCGGTATGTAAATCACTAGGGACTACTAGAAGGAGCAGGCTCAGACTACGTATATCGTTATGTAAATTACTAGGGGATACTAGAAGGAGCAGACTCAGACTAGGCATATCGTTATGTAAATCACTCGGGGATACTAGAAGGAGCAGGCTCGGACTAGGCATATTGTTATGTAAAGCACTAGGGGATACTAGAAGGAGCCGGCTCAGACTAGGCATATTGTTATGTACATCACTAGGGGATACTAGAAGGAGCAGGCTCCGACTAGGCATATTGTTATGTAAAGCACTAGGGGATACTAGAAGGAGCCGGCTCAGACTAGGCATATTGTTATGTAAATAACTAGGGGATACACTAGGCATATCGTTATGTAAATGCCTAGGGGATACTAGAAGGAGCAGGGTCAGACTATGTATATCGGTATGTAAATCGCTAGGGGATACTATAAGGAGCAGGATCAGACTATGTAGATCGGTATGTAAATCACTAGGGGATACTAGAAGGAGCAGGATCAGACTATGTATATCGGTATGTAAATCACTAGGGGATGCTAGAAGGAGCAGGCTCAGACTATGTATATCGTTATGGAAATCACTAGGGAATACTAGAAGGAGCAGGCTCAGACTATGTATATCGGTATGTAAATCACTAGGGGATACTAGAAGGAGCACGCTCAGACTATGTATATCGGTATGTAAATTACTAGGCGGTAGTAGAAGGAGCAGGCTCAGACTATGTATATCGGTATGTAAATCACTAGGGGATACTAGAAGGAGCAGGCTCAGACTATGTATATCGTTATGTAAATAACTAGGGGATACTAGAAGGAGCAGGCTCAGACTAGGCATATCGTTATGTAAATGACTAGGGGATACTAGAAGGAGCAGGCTCAGACTATGTATATTGGTATGTAAATCACTAGGGGATACTAGAAGGAGCATGCTCAGACTAGGCATATTGTTATGTAAATCACTAGGGGATACTAGAAAGAGCAATCTCAGCCTAGGATGTCAATACCTCAATCAACAAAGGACGATGGACGGAGTTGGCTTAGACAAGATATATCGATACCTTAATCAGGGAATGAGCTGGCTTTGACAAAATGTAGCGATACATTAATCATTAGATAACGGGGAAAGAGCTGGCTTAGATTAGTTATATTGATACCTTAATCACTGAAGAACAGGGGAAGGAGCTGGCTAAGACTAGCTATATCGATACCTCAATCACCAGAGGACCGGGAGAGCTGGCTAAGACTAGATATAGGTATGTAAATCACTAGGGGATACTAGAAGGAGCATGCTCTATATCGATACCTCAATCACCAGAGGACCGGGAGAGCTGGCTAAGACTAGATATATTGATACCTGAATCTGTATAGGACCGGAGAAGGAGCTGGCTATATCGATACCTCAATCACCAGAGGACCGGGGAGAGCTGGCTTAGACTAGATATATTGATACCTGAATCTGTATAGGACCGGAGAAGGAGCTGGCTTAGACTAGCTATATCGATACCTCAATCACCAGAGGACCGGGGAGAGCTGGCTTAGACAAGCTATATCGATACTTCAATCACCAGAGGACCGGGGAAGGAGCTGGCTTAGACTAGATGTCGATTACTATATAACTAGAGCAGACTCAGACTAGGCATGTCAGTAAATAAGTTGCTGTAGCAGGCTTCGATTTGATGTATCGATAATCGAATCATTAAAGGCGACTCAGACTAGGCTTATCGACAAACACATATATCACTGGAGCAGGTTTAAACGAAGTATATCAATTAGAAAATCAAATCATTTTATTACAAATGTTTCGGGTATGTACATCTATAATCAATTTGCTTGAGCAGGTTTAGACAAGCTATTTTGATAAATAAATCATCGGAAGAGAACGGATGGAGCAGGCTTAGATTAGATAAATCGATATAGAAATTACTAGTTAACAAGAACAAAGTCAAAAACAGACCAGCACTAGGTGTATTGATACTTGTATAACTGGCGGACACGATACGAAGCTTGCTTAGACAAAGCACATGCAACTCGATAATTAAATCACCGGAGAAGATTATCATTCGAACAAGTTCGGACTACGTTAATTCATAGTTAAGTAAATTTTGTCGGCTCGCTTTCCATTAATCAATACTTAACTACAAGTAGGACAGGGAATGGCGCAGCACATGCCAAATATATCGGTCAAACTTTGTCGCCATTGTTTATAGTAGTAGATCTTATTCAAATCGCCTCTCTTCAGCAGACGCCCCATAGATAGTGCCCACACTTTTTTGCATGCAATATGTCAGAAGTTACTTTCAAGAAAGTTATTTACTTTAGGTTACCAAAGAGAGATGACTTTCAGAAAGAATGATGGGTCATTCGCTGTTTGGGCACACCGGCCTTCCAGTACATGGTACGGTAATATTAATCATTAATCGTTCCATTTGACTATGAAATCACTAATGTTCGTGTTTTAGTTTGTTGATATCGTGGATAATCCTTATCCACAAGGTTCAATATTATAAATGACACGTCGGGAAACGCGAACTATCGTCTTGACAACAAAAACCACAAACAAATGGTTATAGGGACCGCAGAACCAAATAATTTTCCATAGACGATAGTGTTAAAGTTTACCACTGTCCTGGTTAAATGGGGTTATCCACACTGGTTTACCTGCACTCATTTTGAAGAACATCATCTCGCACAACTGTAAATAAAATATTTAAAAATTCTGCCTGTTTGAACTTTTTTATATGGGGGCCGCCATTTTGAATTGAATTCGGCACCAAAATTGACCAAAATTTACAACAAATTACACACTTAATAAACTCCCCCAGACAAAAGCAGACTTGATTTATTTTCATTTTTATTTTCATACTTTTTACATCTATATATATCGCTCAACCAACACATAACACGTTTGAAATTCTGCCACCTAAATATCCATCCAGCAGGCCCCGAGGCATTCACCTTCCTATTAAATCTTCTTTCCAAAAGGGGAAAAAAAAACTATTTTTGATTTGGTTCCGTGGTCCCTATAAGCAAAGTCAAAAACCTGTAAATATATGTATTATACATGACAATAAAATGTTTCCACATGAGATAACGATGATGAAACATTACCGTAGTCTTTATCAACATATATTTCTCTAGAACTTGTGTACTTAGTTTGTCCACAAACAGTGGTCAACGTTCACGGAAAACATGGTATTCGGAGGAAGTGTTAGCACAAGCCACGCTACGTCATTTATTCGTTTTATTTATTTGATTGTCTTTTTTCATCATTTTGTCTGTCTGCTATTGACTTCTGGCTCTATCTTACTTGCATCCTAAAGGCTTACAGCGTTCGTAGTCAAGGTGCTGAGCGAAGCCTCCGAATTTATTGACATCGATTCTGAGGTGATCTGTTCCGGTATGCGATGGTTGTTTAGACATCAGCGAGGGGATGGTGCCTTCATGGAAATTTTCCCTCTCTTCCACAAGGAAATGATGGCAAGTGTTCCTGTACAACAAAATGTCCCTTCGTGTTAAAATCCTCAATGCGTTATACTTCTTGGTCAAGTTATAGTTCTTTATTACATTGAGCTTTGCATCTCATCAGTATGATCAGAAAAGTCGTTATAAAATGCTAATGGGTAATGCTCGAAACGCGTGTACATTTTGTGTTATTTACATGTTGTTCGTTTCTTTCAGGGAGGCATGAATGGCGAAATATCCATGACAGCCTATGTATTAATAACACTTATGGAGGCACATTGCAGGCCGATCGTGAGTACAATGGTCTTTGTTTTACCATTCAACAGTAGAACAATATAGCTTCTAATTCGAAGCTTGATATGTAATAATTTGCTTACACCGTTTTGTCTGCAAGTTATCTGTAGGTCACATGGCAGTCCAAATCCTATTTATATTTATGACTTGTCTGGGATAAAGGCCAATTTGCGTATGCGACACTGCTAGCGTTGCGTAGGCAAAAGCACGGCCCGACCCATATCAGTAATTTACGCACAATATCTGCCAAGTAAGTGACATGTTTGTATTGTTTGCTGTACTTCCAACAAAAGACAAATGCTAGAAATATGTACCTATTTAAAATCTATTTCCATAATGCAGGAAGGAAAAATTAAAAAAATGATTACTTATTACAATAAGCTCCCAGAACATAAATTGTCAATAATACATATAAGTCTGACCTTGCTATAAAAATATCGGCAGTGTTTAATATATAATTAAAATGTTATGCTATGGCCGTTTCCTTGTTCTTTTTCAAAATGAAACAATTCAACTCATATTGCAGTGTAGCTGCCGGGCCCTAGAGCCTAATAAAGGAGTGGAGATTGATATGGAATATGATAAAGAAATAAGAAAGCATCTTAATATGATAACTTATTCCGAAATTTCTAATGTCCTTTATATGCCAAAAATAATTTAGAGTTGATATCATGTCAGTTTTATCTACGTCTTTAAGTAGGCCGGCTCCAATATTGTGTGTTTTTCTCAGAATTAAACAATTTCACAATAATTCTAACAATCTCAAATTTTGAGAAAAAATGCGAGCCTACTTTTTCTTCATCTAAAAGTTGTCTCAATATGCATAGCATGATTATTCATAAAAATTCGCTCATGCAAAATATCCTGTTTACTAATTGCAGGACACAGAGCAAAACATCGTGCTTGCACTCCAATACCTTGAGTCTCATCTGGACTTTATCGATCAGACATACCCCCTCGCTCTCACCGCATACGCCCTTGCCCTTGGCAACAGTCCGAGGAAAATGGATGCTATTAACTATCTCAAAACAGCATCAACCGAAGTCGACCAAGGGAATGGTGGACAAGGTTGTATAATTGATAATTCTTTGTTGATGAGTATTTCAGAGGATATTTCATTATTTTTAATTTCATCCTTTTGGTATATGTTCTAGCAGAATATGTTGCGTAACCTATTCAGATTTTTTTTTATTAAAAATCGTTTATGCGTCTACGTCTACGTATGTATGTAAGTGTGTAATCTTGCGATGCGTTAAACGTATATGCGTAATTACATGCACATTGATTTTTTTTAAAAGATTTTGATGTGATATTTGTCTATGTGTACATATGTATTCACATATGGCCATGAAAGGAAAAAATATACAATACCGCCAACACACTTAGATAACAAAGCCCACATCAAACACGAAATAAAATACCACAACCATATTACCAGGACAAAAATACAACATACAACGTACCTGGTCAAACTATAATATACTATAGTGTCAGTACAGGAGGGAAAAGCAGTCAAAACTATCAAGACAACAAATACCATTACGTCAAATTATAAGTGGCCCCAGTCAATGGAAACCACAGTCAAACTATCAGGACAGAAAATACCATTGCGTCAAATTATAAGTGACCCCAGTCAGTGGAAACCACAGTTAAACTCTTGGGTCAAAAATACCATTGCGTCAAATTATAAGTGGCCTCGGTCAATGGAAAACAAAAATACCATTGCGTCAAAGTCTAAGTGGCGTCAGTCAATGGAAACCACAGTCAAACTATCAGGTCAAAAATACCATTGCGTCAAAGTGTAAGTGGCATCGGTCAATGGAAACCAGTCAAACCATCAGGACAAAAATACCATTGCGTCAAAGTCTAAGTGGCGTCAATCAATGGAAACCAGTCAAACCATCAGGACAAAAATACTATTGCGTCAAATTATAAGTGACCCCAGTCAATGGAAACCACAGTTAAACTGTAAGGACAAAAATACCATTGCGTGAACTTTCAGGAACAAAATATGTCATGGCGTCAGTATTTGCTGTTGTCATATGATCTTCAAAACAGTTCGAAATGGAAGTAATTTATATATCCATCGTATTTGATTACATTATATCTTATTTAATTAAGGATATTAATGTATATATTTAAATACATTTGACCTGGTTATTAGTTATAATAAGTTTGTGTTTATGTATGACAGGCATGCGGTACTGGTCTGTGATCGACTTCATGGGAGAGGTACCGCCTTGGATGACACACGACCCGACAGCCATGGACGTGGAAATTACGGCGTACTCTGTTCTGGCTTTCCTGACAGTTAATGAAGTCGGCTACGTTAATAACGTCGTTGAGTGGCTTCTCACTCAAAAGACTTCTTCAGGGGCCTTTAAGTCCACACAGGTAAAAGGAGGTTATCGACAGAGTGTTATTAGTTACCATGACACAGCTGTTCCCTACATCCTCATTGGTTAGATCATAAACACATGAACGTAGATGTGGTATTGACTCGGTGTTACTTCGTTTCGGTTAATATCTCTTTCTCAGGATCATATAACCAAATACTCATATCAGTCAAAGTCCATAAATGATGAATACCATATGTGAGTGTAATAAGGTAAAAAAACATATCGAGGGAGAGAAAATGATGAAAAAATCTAAGGAAATATTTTCCAACAATTTTAGAAACATCATCTATATATTCCATCGAAAAATATTCGGTAGGTTATAACCATACTATCAAATGGACGCTTACGGAAGCTTGTTATAATGTTTTGTGTAATATTTTGTTGGTATCTAGGACACCGTGGTTGGACTACATGCGTTATCTGAGTACAATGTGAGGTCATACGCCCTCAAAATAGACCTCCACACAAAGATCAAAGTATCAACTGACGACGCCATTGAACATGACATCGTTCTGTCAGATGATGACGTCAGTGTTCAGAAAGCTGTACATGACGTAAGTCATTAATTGTATAATGTTTAATAATCTTTTCGATATTTTAAAAACCTAACATAATATTGTCATCAATACTTATGATAGTGTATTGTAATCTAATCTGCTGGATGTTTACTTTTCTGTATGTCTATTCGTGTTTCTAAAGAACATAAGCTGTATTATTGCAATAAGTTTTCTTTGGGAGAGGTTGACATAAGAATAGGTGACATCAAATAAAACAAATTCACAAATACACGGTTTGGTTCTTAAAGAAATCTGACGGATTTGAAACCCGACCGTAACCAGTCAAGGTTTAAGCTAGTAGTGCGACATCTATATGTACAAAGTGCTATTTCAAATGAGATAGATGATACCAAATGTACAAGATTTGCATAGCGCCTTTTATAATTTGCAAAATTACTCTGAGCAGCTTTACAACACATAAATAATAGTATTCATACAGTGACATTTATAAATATAGTAGATAGAAAGGCGTACAAAGCATCATTATATTAGATAAGAAGACATTCATCTATTTACGATAAAAAGATTTAATGTCCATGTAAAGTAGACATTTAAAGAAAAAATAAGATCCGACAACAAAACAAGCGGCTCCAACCCCACTTCGACAGAAAAACCATTGCGACGCAACAACTACACGTCATCACACCAAACAGCAACGTGACGCAACAATGCTCACCAGATGCACGTGTACGGTTTATAACCCATCGTTCTTTTCAATAAACCACCATAAATCCTGTTATGTACTGCTGGATAATACAAATACCATTATGTGCATAAGTAATAGTATATGCTGTAGATACCCGTTGAAGGCAAATTGAAAGTGACTACAGAAGGTACAGGTATTGGTCGGATGGAGGTCGAAGTTCGATACAATGTCAACACAACGGAAGATGAGAGGTGCAAGTTTACCATTGACGTGTACGATTCGGAGGTGGAATTCAACTATTTCCAAAGCAAAGGACTCGCCACAGAGTAGGTTCATTGTAAACAGGACATTTAAACAATTTACTTGCAAGAAAAATGAGGATTTTGAATTCTTAAGAGAGAATGTAATGCGCTCTAAAACGTTTAGCAATTAAATTTCATTGAAAGTATTGTTCTGTTTACATATACTGCTATAACATTTTAGTAAACATTTGATCAAAGAGGAATGCTCCTGAGCTGTTACTATTTGTACAGTACATTGTACAAATATACAGATATCACGCATATTAAATCATAGTTTCCATGGAGATGAAATGATATCACTAAAGTCAGAGACTGAATACAATTCATTTGAGAGGGAAGTCACGACTTCCATATTTTTGTATATCGATACTGTCTTATATCTCGATGAAACTTTTTTCATGTAAAAGGATTTCCAATGCACCTATCTCAAATATGGGACCAAGCTGTGACTAGCTTAAGTGACATTCGGTGACGTGAAATTTTAACCTCTGATATTTTTTTTTCAATTCATAACAATAAAATTAATTTATAAAAACATAATTGGTATTCAAAATGACAACTATAAGGATACAATTAACCTTTTGAAAGATAGTGACTTTTCGAATGTGACTTTTAACTGCTGTTATTTTATACAATTTCACCTAGAAACATATGATACTGAATGTGAAGCAAATAGTGCGTTCAATACTTTCACTAAGGGCTTCCCATAATAAGCATTTACTATATATGCACATTTTTGCAGACGGGGAATATAGTGTGCAAATGTGTTTTGCTTGCGTGGCTGAACTTCTGTGATTTTCTTTTAAGAAGTTCATTTTTTAAACAAATACTCAATTGGGCATCGAATTTAACAACTCTTACAATATTCTTCTCTAAAACCGGATGATTAACGATTGAACAATGTATGTTTCGTAAAGAACATAATTAGTTTGTGCTAGCAGCGTATGCTGTATGAGGTTTTGAGAGGGTGACGGAAGAAGTGATTATTGACATTGTGTGCAAACATTTAACCATCTGCAAGGTAATGGTAATATTTATAAAGACAAGTGTTGCCGATTATTCGTTATCCCTGGACAGTAAATAGCTTAATTGAACGTATTGTAACGATATCTTCTCCAGTATGAACTGCGATGCCTGTGGTCACTGTGAACAAGAATATGAAGAGGACTTCGAAGATGTCCTCGACAAGTATAATAAAATTGAGCTTGATCCAAGGATAGGCGTCGACCAACCGAGACAAGACTCCCGAAAGAAAAGGGCCCCGTATGTCATGAGGATGCATGGAGCCAGTAAAGAGCAGACTTGTTTGGAAATCTGTGTCAGGTAAGTTAAGTCTGATTATATTTTTTATTAATATTCTAAAACAGGAAATAAGCACATTTCTTTTGCCCTTGAAAAAATATGAGAAAATTGATTGACATATGAAAGACCCACAGCTACGAACTTTGTATCAAGTTCGATGAAGTCAATATCATTTTAAAGGCACATATATATGTCTGCGAGGTCGGTGGCAGAGAATATGTTGTATTCCGCGGGTTGATAGATAATTGTTACTACCGCGATGAATATTATGTATGTAAATACTTTATCATATTGCATTAGGCACTTGACTATGGCAATACTTCGATTCTGATTAGATGTTTACTTGTTTTTGATATTTAATGGTTAGGCTGCAATATCGTACATGTATACACATTAGAGGTTATTATAGGACCATATTACTTATGTAACATGAAAATGATATAACATTTTCTATCAGTGATGGAAACATCAGTAAAATATTTTCAAAATAAACACGTTCAACAAATATAAAAACAATTGTAATAGAGGATGCTAAGATGAAAAATGTTCTTCGCGAGATAATATGGTATGACCTGTTTTAATCATAATGCTAATCACATAAAGTCCAAGTATAGTTTTATTTATTACATGTATATATTCACTTCATTAAATATAATTCTTTCCAAATACATACTATTTGATCCCAATATGCTCTAGCTATACTGGTTATGAGGTGTTGGACATGCCGGTGGTAGACATTGGACTGCCGACAGGGTTTAACGTGGAGAAAGGCGATCTTGAAATGGTACGAAACAACGGATATTAAACGAAGGTCCATGAAGCTGTCAATCATTTGCATGCAGATGAAAAAGTAAAATGATTAGTGAATGAATAAAGAATATTTGTCGTTTCATTTTGTGAATATTTTTTAAAGAAGTATGCTTCACAGTAAACAAACAATATATTTCTGTTTAGTGCTTAGTAGTTTTTATATAAATAATGGCAAATGATTGTTTGTCCTTTTTTAGCTGAGAGAGAAGGGGATTGTTAATAGCTACGAGTTATCCAAAAGATCTGTAATATTTTATCTAGACCAGGTACGTATATTACTATGCATCGTTCTTTCTCTGAGATATTTGTGTTTACGTTTATATCACTATAATGAAATGTTCTTGGTTCAAAAAAGTGAACCTTACCTTAGCACAATCAATAAAACATTGATTCAATATGACATTTTAAAACATTGACCGCTTATGTGTGTACGGATTTACATTAGGGATCAATGTATGCTCTCACTACTTCTATGTCAATCATTCTTAAAAAACACACCATATTTACCTTTTTTTGTAAAACAAATAGGACGTTTTTTTGTACGTAATTTTATCAGTGTATATTTATCCATTAACGCTATCGAATGAGTGTACCATTAATGGCTTATCATAAAGCATTCCATATAGAGAACTATTTTCTTGTAGATTCCTGCCACTGATGAAACCTGCTTCAAATTCAGAGTAGTCCGTGAATTTGAGGTTGAGAATTTGCAAGCTGCGAAAATTGAGGTCTATGATTATTACAAAACAGGTGAGTTTTTGAAGCTCTATTTTAACTATAAAAGAATCGGTCGAAAACCAGATTTATTTAATAATATACATGAAGTATCAGACAAAATGTATAACTGATTATTAATATAACTATATACGAGCGTAAATGGAACAGTTTTGCAGTAATAGATTACTCTGCAGATGTGAAAATTTACGGAACACGTTATTCTGCTGGACATATACAGTTATCTAATTCAATTTTGAAATTCGAGTGTGAAATAGAATGATGCAGTATTTTAATACAAAATATCTCCCTGATTTGTACCTTAAATATCCAAATAGGGCTCAATAAACCAAAAGAACGCCAGAAATGGCGTCGATATCATTTACAAGAATGTACCAATAAAAAAACCGATTGTGTGGATTACAAGTAGGTCAAAATAAAACTAAAGTGATTTATTGCCTGTTTTTGTATACAAAAAACATGTTGTGTTTTTTAGAGGAAAGATGCACAAAGTTTTACAGCCTAAAGTATGACGTTGCTAACCTAGATATTTTCTGTAGTACAAGTAAACGGGAAAACTGCCACTGTGTTGAAGGTAAGTACTGAATATTATAACCAATAATTAAATTAATATTGTAATGCCGATCACATAAATGAAGTATTCTTCAAATACTTAAAAGGTTTTCACAAAAGCTCGGCAATAACACACATTAAGCCAATTTGTCTTATGATTTTTCATTTATTTTGAAACAGCCACACACTGTTTAAAGTTGACTTTTGCTTATAAAATCAGAACGTTCCCTGGAATGTTTGGATGTTCATTTTCGATTACGCAAAACCCCTATTCCTGTGTTTTACGTTAACGTTTGATTGCGCTGATAGAGTTACTGTGCATCCTGACTTAGCCTGCACCCGGTTGGACTTAACAAATAAGTCAAAATAAACAAGTATGTGGTTGGTATTTATTTTTATAATGAACGAGATTTGATGAACGCATTTGTATGTCGGATAAGACAGGATATCAGAATATTGATTGACTGATTACAATTGTGCATAAGGTTTTATTTCACGATTGCAGTATATTTATATATACTATTGTGGTGCAGTATTACAATAATACATTATTTAATAGTTGCCTATGTGTTAGTTCATGAATCCTTATGTTGAATCTCGTCATTACGAATCCCTCGTGCTTATTATACATAATAATAAACCTCAACTATATTATAAATAAAACATGTAATTGATTGTCGGTTTATGTTGGTGCCAAAAGACGAAATCAAAAATGGTATTGACCATTTGAAGAAAATGGAACAAAGATGGGTTACTTCCCCTATCGTATGTTTCGTTTGTCATAGATATATGTTTACTTAAATGTTAATGACAAAGTTTGGATTACTTCAGGGAAGTGTGCAGAGAGCTGGGACACCAAGATACGCTACGGCCGTGTGTCTAAGGTCATGTCTGCTTTCTATCGCAAAATCTGCTTTGAGTTTGATTTCGGTAAGATTTTGTCATATATCGTGTACATATTCTTCCGTTATTAGCGTTAAGTGAGTCTTTACTAAATCAACTGTACAACATGCCTAGAAATTATTGATTATTTGATGAAATTTGTTATTTCTGATATCAGGATTAAGAAATAAAAAAAATAAAAAAATTGGTCCTGATCGGATCGATATATATATATAAATGAGTTCACATGCTTGTTTGTCTGATTTACGTTACATACATCACTAGTATATCGCACGTGTTGATATATCCAAGCGAGCTCATGGCACAGGAGATGATGAATATGTCAACATATGTGTTTTGTATATCAATATTGATTATGCTTTTTTTATTTCAGCCCTTCGGATAGAAGTGTCTAACATTGTTCAAAAAGGCAACCATCTGGTTATAGCAGCTGTTATTAAATCCGTTACGAAAGCAGGTAATCAATAAATGTTTGAAACAACCTAATTAATTTTCATTGAAGTTACGAGATGCATACCCTTACATCCTCGAATCAATATATTGATATAATATGAATTTACATTAACCTTTCATCATTAAATATAAACCGTGACATTGTCCCCAGTTTAACAATAAGTAAAAAGTTACATATTGTACCTTTGTTTCACGTGTCAATAATGTTTCATTGTGCTTGTTTGTAGAAGTGGCCTTTTTCAAATAATTTTTATTTTCATCTGTTAATACATTCGAATCACAAAATTACATTGCATTCGTTTTAGGGGCCGAAGACTTAGCGGTCAATGATGAAATCGAATTCTGGATGAACATCCGATGTAATTTGCTACTGGAAATTGATCATAATTACATTATATATGGCATGAATGGTATTCCATACATAGACCAACATGGAGTCAATAGGTAAGACTTAACAAATCGTTCGTGTTGAATTGGAAAGACCATTACATGTATACCTAATTATATCACGCACTAGTCGCTACAATAACTAACCCTTGTTCGAAAAGCAAAAGTGGAACAAAAAAGTTATTTTTATGTTCATTACAATAAAGAATTACACAAAAGACATCATTGATAAAGCCCATTTGTTTCCGTAAATTATAAACCTAATGGAAACCTGCTTGAAACACGCGTAGGTTTCAAATATTGCGAAAATCCAAACTGTAGGTGTCAATCATATCACCATCTGCAGGAGCATAGACTCGGAAAGCCATCAGGGTTTGTCTTGTTTTCATAAGTTTTATTCCGGGTTAGAAGATGATAATCCCGTGTTTAGTATCAGAAAGGACTCCTTAGCCGATACTTTGTATTTCAGTCACATGTTGTTTTTAACTAGAACCTTGAACATAGAATAATTTAAATCAGGTGCTTCACTACAATAATTTTCCTCTTTTTAGCCACTAAAGCTTTTGTTCCCGCCTATTTCGTTTTATTGTGTTCATGGTTGGTTAAGACTTTATGTAAACATTAACTTATTTTCGATATAGGTACCGGTATTTCCTGCAAGGCAACACCGTTATTTTAAAAGACTACACGCTGAGAAGGTACAGTACCAGTACAAAGCTTGAACAGTGGAGACACAGCTTCCGTAGGATGGAAAACTACATCCATCGCTGGGGCTGCTAACAAGGGCGATAACTACAAATAAACTGTATGGAATATAAGAAAGACATCATAAAGGATTAGTGATATTCCCTGGAGGACAGCTTTCGAATTCGAGTTTTTGAGCAGTACAGAGGGTCATCACATACACTTTCTGTAATGTGTTGTTAAACATCAAAATTAAACTTGAAGATAATAACCAGCCTTGAAACGAGAAAACAATCTTGAAGTATGTGTTACAATGTGACATTGTATATCTTAATAACTTGCCTTCAAGTGAATGATTTTTAGATCAAATTAAAATTTTCAATATTCATAACATGTGTTCAAAATATTAGATTTTGTATATATTTTGTGAGTCTATCTGAGAAGAAAGTAACTGCAAGAATGCAATCATAATACTGTATGAAAATGTGATAATGTAACGATGTTTGGGGACAAACACCATCTGGATTAAACTAGACATGGATATATAGCTGTTGTATTGAGCTAAAGCATAAGATAGTCTCTTAAGGATCACGGTACCAGTGCCAAAAACTGTAAGTTAGTGTTGGAAACTGTTTTCTCCGGTAGGATTATAGCCTTGTGCATTATTTATGAAAAGAAACTCGTGCCTTGATTTTTATGAAAAATGATAAAGATTGTAAAATAATCAGAACATAATCGACAAGAGTATTCTGAATGTGTGGTAATCAGCGATACTAGACCGGAATTCGAACCCTTGACTTCAGATACATGTAGTAATATTATTCCAGTAACCGATTGAGCTATCTGGTCAACAGAAGTGTACAAGCCCTTAAATGTTACATGGAAACAGGAAATAAGGGGAGGTTACTATATATAGGTAAAACGGCAGTATAGTGGGACAGGGATCCTTAAATATGCAATTTTCCATATAATGATGTCCATTAAGTAGTGATATAGATAAAAAGTCCAAGGGTCTTCACGTTGATCATATTTCAGTACACGAAAGATGGGACTATCAGTGGAACATACTATATACATTTATCTATTACTTTGTCACTCATACACAACTAACACATGTTTTTGAACCAAAACATTTTAAAAAGAGTTTTCGACCAGACCTACAAGAACAATTGACTAACTTTATAACAGCGTGTCTGATTGGATGATACTGATCACATGGCAGGGCAATATAACAACCATATCTTCCTCACGCGCTCAAATTTCCCCGAACACATTTTTCTTATTCGGAGCATCTACAGAAACGTCGGCAAGAGTCACCACAACGTAGTTCCGAATGACGGAAGCAGACAACAACAATGGCGCGTCAACCTGATAATCTCTACTATTGTGTTATTATATTTGAGCGATTTTTTTCCCGGCCTAATATTAAACTATGTGCACTACCGATGTTGTAAGTGATGGATAGTTAATGCCACACTCTCAGAATGCTTTTTATATTTTCAAAATGTGTTTAACTTGTAAACGAATATCAGGTAAATAATCAGTTACTGTGAAATCACTAATTTTCGTTGGGTTTTAAATTCGTTGATTTTGTGAATGATCTTCATTCACGAATTCATAGGTCCACGAAGTAATTACAAGTTTTACTTAAATAATATCTCCGTATGAGTGGGCACTAGTAACCCACGAATTCATGTACCTATGCAATGGTGCCTTTTAGGGAAGCATCGAAATTTGGGACCAAAATATATCTGATTTCACAGTTAAAGGTTTGTATAGGGTCTACCTATCTCGCAACAGCTTAGTCAGAAAAAGGACGCCTAATTAGGGAGACAACGCAAAAAGATAATAGGGAAGTGAGAAAACAAAGAGCTGCAATGGCGACATCAGATTAGTTGCGGTTTTGCTATGTCCACTACGCAGAGGAAAACCTATGATACTCTAGGGACCTCACATTAGTCGCCTCTTTCATGCACTTGGGTCTGTGAACTTACAAGGGTAAGAAGAATGTGTGGCTCAGGTAAAATTATTTATAGCTTCGCTTCAAGGTCTAAAATATCAATTATATAATTAATAAACAGTAGCTTATGTTGTTTGTCTTTTCTTTTTGCACTTCTGAAGTAATTACGACCAATATTGGCAAAATATGAGGATTAATATTTAGTAGTAGAAGCAGTTTATGAAAATAATGTTAGTCCCAATATAACGGTTGTGGTATTAGTATCTATTGTAAAGGTTTCATCAGGAAATATATCACTTGCCGGAACTAAGTATTTATATACACTGCATGTCCAGATCTCATGGATTGTAGTATTTCTTTTCAATTTCTAAATAAAGCATTTTTTTTGGCAAGCAGAAAAAATATAATCTAAATGATAGAACTGATTCGGATGATATTTTTCATACACTTGAAATGAAAAGATAACAAGGAAAACGTGTGTTTACAATATAACATATGTTTCATGGTGTTTGTATCATTTTGCAGTTCACAACAATCTGAATATATCATCTGTTTAATGTATTTATAAATGCGGTTTGTACATAAGTACTAGATTATGACAAATGTCACTGACACTATTGTTATCAGTTTGACTGATTATCTAATAGAAACCACTGCCGGAGAAATCAGATTACATTCTTCTCATCCTATCACACCATAGTGTGTGTCATCTAAATACTGACAGGACAACGGACAACCGGTAGCTGAAGTCGTTCACATTCACATAGATGATACACATCTACTTGTTGACATGTTGTTAATCAGTTCGAACGGACTCTTGTAGTGCATATCATAAACAAAGTCCAAAGGTGTCGAGGGGACAAGGAGTGACCGAGCCTAGGAATCACAAAGCTGTCTTAGACTGACATGTAAGTCCGAGCTTCTACAAGTATTGAACTGTCTTTCTAAAATCTTTAAACCAAACCAATATGCAGCGTATTTGCTTTCTTATGGGCGTAAATATTGAAAATTCCGTTCAATATATATATTTGTATCATAAATTCGCAGTTATTAATTATCTAAATATTAGTGTTCCCTAATATTTGCAGTACTGAAGAGTCATTATTAGCAGTACAAACAATAGTCACGCCATATCCTGACAAGACTTGATTGTTTTCTTCTAACAATGGTCTCGCTGAAGCGGGGCACGAGTCAAACGGACGCTGCGAACGCAGTTTCTTGTGGTAGTACATTGTAGTTATATAATGACATGACACTGAATGTCTTCATTTTTTGTATGTTGATAAAAACACATCTTTCCAGTGAACAGCAGTCAGTATGTGATGAAAAGATGTCGGTTATTAATATGTATATGTACATGTATATCCCAACAAGTTTCAATATGAACTGGAAGATCAGACACATTGGAAAAAGTCTCAGTTCTCTCTTGATTCCAGAGACACATCAAGTGTGTTTTTAGTTCTAGGATGTTTAATGTAGCTAGGACAAAATAGGGTAGAAGACATTCTATAGTGACCTTAGAAAAACAGCTTCATCGCCGACACTCTACACGTCATCCTCGATATCCAGGAGTTAACGCTCACTTTCGCTCTCTACACCACTGGAATATGTCATAGCAAAATTGAAGGCTCAGTGTGTGCCATCTTGTTGATGAGACGTGATGACTACATTAAAAGAATATCGCGGTCATGTAACGGTAAAAATTGACAGGCTTTGAAGTCGGGCGTCTCTCCTTTGTAATTTTCAAAAGACGGGTATCAGCATAGCGGTTGGTCAGTTTTTTGTACCTGAGACCAATTTAACAGCTATCTTCGTGCCATGACATATTCCAGGGGTGCAGAGAGCGAAAGTGAGCGTTACCCCTGGATCTCGAGGATGTATACATGTAAATCTAGGTCAAATGCAAGTCCTCTCTCTGGGAATCGGGGTAGCAAACACATTACCAAAAGGTATACTTATGAGCATAATGAAAGGTTTGATATCAATTTCATGTCCATACGTCTCGATCAGATCATGATAGCTGTCATAAACTTGTGTCCATAATATTCATATACTGGCATCTAATTAATTAGGCAGTCATGTCCTTTATGAGAAATCGTATTCATGGACTTATAATCATCGTTATACGAACTATTTGGTTGTTACATTTGTCGATAACATATAAAATGTTAATACATGTAGATGAAACAAATACATGTATCTTTACACCAAAGCGTTAATTAAGACAAACAAACCACCACAATCTAAACAGAAAACAACAAAATATGCTACAGCGTCAATACACAAGGACAAAATATAAACCATACGTCAATACACAAGGACAAAATATACCACAATGTCAATACCCAAGGACAAAATGTAAACCATACGTCAACATACAAGGACAAAATATACCACAATGTCAACACACAAGAACAAAATATACCACAGTGTCGATACACAAGGATAATGTGTACCTCAGCGTCGAGACACCGACAAAATATACCTCAGCGTCGACACAACGACAAAATATACCTCAACGTCGACACAACGACAAAATATACCTCAGCGTCGACACACCGACAAAATATACCTCAGCGTCGACACACTGACAAAATAAACCTTAGCGTCGACACACCGACAAAATATACCTCAGCATCGACACACCGACAAAATATACCTCAGAGTCGACACAGCGACAAAATATACCACAGCGTCGACACACCGTCAAAATATACCTCAGCGTCGACACAACCACAAAATATACCTCAGCGTCGACACAGCGACAAATTATACCTCAGCGTCGAAAAAGCGACAAAATATACCTCAGCGTCGACACAACGATAAAATATACCACAGCGTCGACACAGCGACAAATTATACCTCAGCGTCGACAAAAAGACAAAATATACCTCAGTGTCGACACAACGACAAAATATATCTAAGCGTCGACAAAGCGACAAAATATACCTCAGCTTCGACACAGCGACAAAATATACCTCAGCGTCGACACAGCGACAAAATATACCTCAGCGTCTACACAACGACATAAAATACCCCAGCGTCGACACAACGACATAATATACTCCAGCGTCGACACAACGACAAAATATACCTCAGCGTCGACACACCGTCAAAATATACCTCAGCGTCGACACACCGACAAAATATACCTCATCGTCGACACACCGACGAAGTATATACCTCAGCATCGACACAACGACAGAATATACCTCAGAGTCGACACAGCGACAAAATATACCTCAGCGTCGACACAGCGACAAAAAATATAACTCAGCGTCGACACAACGTCAAAATATAACTCAGCGTCGACACAACGTCAAAATATACCTCAGCGTCGACCCAGCGACAAATTATACCTCAGCGTCGACAAAAAGACAAAAGCGACAAAATATACCTCAGCTTCGACCCAGCGACAAAATATACCTCAG